ATTTTATGAAACATGAATGCATTTAATAAAGTTTTTTTTTTTTTTTCATTGGGGTCAGATCTGAAAACCGATTGCAAAAGCTGCTGATCGCTGTCTGCAGCCTTAGCAAGCCCTTCCCTTCTAATCCCCATGGTTATTTGCCAAGGCCGAGGATTTTAAGTAGCTTTGTAAAATGTAAAACTGTATTTCATGTTTTTTGTGTGCAAGCACTGTTCATTAAAGTGGTCTGGGTGCCGTGTTCCAGTCCCACTTAGTCCTGCAATGTAAATCAGTGCAGTTTTAGAGAAGACTACCTCTAATGGCTATTAATGAGCATTGAAGCATTGCTTTCTTGTGGGGAGGGTCTAATGTGCGTTCACCTTCTCTACCATCATCCGAGGGGTAGGTTTAAGCGTGACCCAGCGACGATTGGTTTAGGGTTAGTACAGGGGTTTGGGACAGAGGGAACTATAGTGTAAGGAATACAGATTTACGTTCCTTTAAGCATAGAATCCCTTTAAGTAGCCTTGTAAAATGTAGAACTTTTTTTTTTTATTTGCTTTGGTGTATGCACTATTCCCTAATCTGTGTTTTGTCCACTGCGCTAAACAACCAGGAAGAAACAGGACTGGATGTCTGACTGACAGCCTGAGGGGTGTCACCAGGTTAAATGAGAAGTGTCAATTTCTATAGAAAATCAGCACTTTTCATAAATTGAAAAAAACAAGACACACTCTTCACAAATAAAGCACTTCAGCAATCTGGAGTGCTTTAGGGGCCTGGGGTGTCCCTTTAACAAATTTCAAAGGCAGGGACAATATTGAGGATTTTACTAAATACTATACCTATTAAAATCAGGGTCACAAGGAGCAGTCCCTTAATTTATTATTTTTTTTTGTTGTTCTTTTCTAATCTTTGCTGCTCTTTAGTTCTGTCATTCTTTGATATGATTCTTAATCCCAGTTGTTTCTAGCCATATGTGAAGAAGAAAATTTTTTTCTCAGAATTGAATCCATAAATAGTACATGATTATTTATCTCCAGGTAAAAGGGTTTCCTGGTGACGTCACCTGTGAGAGAATAAACTTCCATGTTGAGATTAGTAATTCAGTTATATGGGGCTATAGAATTTATCACTAGTATGTAGTATGTAGCATAGGAATCATTATCTACAGAGAATACACGCGTTCTGAGTTCCAATCTTAATGTAGTGCTTTGTACAAATATATACACAGAACGAATCTTCACTGTCTCATAAGCATTGTCAATTACCCACTCACACAGTAATTCTCTAAACAGGAGCTGAATGACCTCTTGCATTTCTTTGTGGGTGAATCATAGGTGTCTGGGTCAACCATTTCTATCTACTGCCGTAAATCGCTGCATTTTAAAAAGGTCACACAGGAGAATGAACCTTGTAATGTAACTACAATAGATCTGTCTATTATGATGCTAAATACTCCAACTTGCTTGTTCAAGGAACACTCCGAGCACCATAACCACTACAGCATGGATGTGAATTCCCTGGTGCACCCATTGCAAATAGTCAAACTCTTTTTGAACGGTTTGACTTCTGACCTGGGCTCTGCCAAGTACATCGCCCTGCCACTACTACAGCTGGCAGAGCCCGGAAGCTCATTTTGGGAAGCTCCTAGGCTTCTCTGCACATGTGGCTGCTAAACACATTTAGACTACAGTGCGGCAGACAGAGTTACTGTCACTGACATGCAGTGTGTGCCATGAGGTCATATCGCCCACTGTCTGATGTGCAGCAAGCTAAATGGGATTAGGAAGGGAGCCTGTATTGCTTGTTGCACAGCTCTGATGCATTACCAACACCAGACACCAGGGACAGTGTGGAGCCCCTCTTTCTCTCTTCTTTCCTTACTGAGAATAAGTCTGCGTGCGTCTCTGTTGATATGTTGGTGTGTTTGTTTGTGAGTCTATGCATGTGAGAGAGTCTGTCTGTGTGTGCATATGTGTGCTATTGTGTCTTGGCGAGTCTTGCCAATCAAACATGTTTTTCTGTAGACCAGCTGGTGAGTGATTGTGGTACCAATTGGGTAGTTGTGTGGCTAATTAGATGTTTGTAAATGGATAATTCTTTATACATGTGGTTATGGTTAATTTCGTCTTTTGCCTTCCATGTGGCAAGTTATGCAAGTCTTGCCACTCGAACATGTTTTTCTGTAGACCAGCTGGTGCACTCCACAAAACTATAAAAGTGGCCCTGTCTGGGGTTTAAACAGGAGTTTATAGTTTGTTCATTAACCAACTAAACTATCTCTCTGTGCGTCCATCTTGTCTGCTTTCAAATCCATGTCTGTCATTCCACCCATTGTACAGCGCTTTGGAATCTGTTGGTGCTTTATAAATAATAATATCAGATATTGCTGATTTTCGTTCGGTGCAACACGAGTGTGCAATGATAACTTGTGTCTTAACACTACTTTGCAGGGTTACCCTGTAGTGCTCTTAGTTACATTGTAGTAATTGAAAGCTGCAGTTTTTGGTTATGTTGTCCCTGATCACATTAGTTCCTTGTTCCTTTTATGCGCTGGATCAATGGGGTTTTTCAACTAAAAAGTGTATTGCAAAATTTAGGTCAAACTAGCTGATGTGGAAATATTCTCCAGCGCATCTAGGGTCACAGTGTGACTTTTTTTAGCCTGGATTTTTTGACTCAGTTTTCAGTTCGCTATGTAACAAATCATAGAGTGTAGCATTTTTTTTTAATTTTTTTTTTTTTGCTTTGTATGATATGTACAGTTGTTTGGCTGCAGCCAGCGTGTTCCCTGCCACTTTTTATTTAAGGCTTTATCGGTCCAGCGAGCAGAGTATCGGGCTATTATATTGCAGGGGGTGGGGAATTTTGTATATAAATAGCAGAATGTGAAGAGAAGAGAGTGCAATGTTCACCAAGGAGGTTTAATATATGACTAAGTGACAGAAGTTTTGTTTCTGAGAATTACTTTTCAGATAAACAACTTTATAGCGGGGCACTTAATCTTACTTACCAGAGACACCTCATTTATTACTGAATTTCAAGTAACTTTAATGTCATTAATTCAGCTCCATATCACGTGTAGTAGTTGTAAAGATGTGTACTTTATTATTTTATGTCTATGTTTATTTTATTAATAAGTATAAGCTACCCCCTTTCCCTCTTTATAGCTTTTTTTCTAAAGTTGCAGAAAACGTACCTAAAATCATAACCGAGAGACATGTATGTAAAGTTTTTAAAGACTTGTCCTGTGTTTTTACTGCTGCCCAGAAACCCTGGAATTAACCACTTCCTGACAGATGACATGCCAAGACTCTTGTATTATAGGTTCTAGCCTAACCCCTTGTTATAAAGTGTTTAAGAGATTGCATGTAGAGCGAGCCGCTGGGAGAGGCACCAGTAAAATTCCCTAACTGACCCATTTAAAACCAAAGCTGTAATCTGAGTTATGAAACCAGTGAACTATGAGCCTTAAATCTTCACTTTAACAACCCATCGTGTTAAGGCTGCGCTATCCCAACCTGCACCTCGACATATAGTAGAATTACAAAGGTTGCAGTTTGAAATGCAGCACAGCAGACATTAGTGGTACTATACCTAATGGCAAACCAGCACCCCCTAATGGATTAGTACCCAGCATGTGCTTTTTTTTTTGTTGTTGTGAAGGGATAGAATTCAGTGATGTAGGTATTGAGCACTATTACCACAGTTAGAGTATGAAATGGCTGCATGCAGTAAAACAGATGTTGCATTCTTACTATCAAGATGCTCCTATATTGGTATTTTAAACAGCTTTGAAGGTGGGCATCAGGGAAAATTCAGTGTGCAAACATCTGAAAGGCCAACACTTCCATCATTGTTGGATATGAACACTATAGTCACCAAAACAACCTTAGCTTAATGAGCAGTTTTGATGTATAGATAATGCCTCTGCAGTCTTACTGCTCAATTCTCTGTAATTTGAGTTAAATCAACTTTTTGTTTTACGTCCTAGCCACATCTCCCCTGGCTGCGACTCGCCCAGCCTGCATGAAATAAGAGGGTCACATTGTCAATCATATGTTTAACTAACTTTAGACGTTTTTATCTCCTGCTCTGTTAATTGAACTTTAATCAGACATAAGAGGCTCCTGCAGACTTTAAAAAGCGATTAACAGAGCAGGAGATGTAAAATTATAAATTAAACAGAATGTGCAATAAAGGAAGTTTAAACATTAGATCTATATTTGCAGGAAGTGTGACTACGGCTGCATAAACTAAGTGATCTAACTCTCTTAAAAGGCAGATAATTGAGAAGTGAGACAAGAGGGGCATGACCTATATACCAAAAGTATTTCATTAAGCTAAAGTTGTTTTGGTGACTGGTGTCCTTTTAACAATGTGAGTTACCTGTATCATGCCTTTGCCATGCAAAGGTGTAAACTATCTTGATGAATAAATGTATCCTTGTTAAGACAATCTGGACTAAAATTGTGTTCAGTTCTAGAATAATCAAGATGAAATTCTGTTAAGAAATACATGTTTCTATTAAAAAATCAGGTGATTAATTATTACACTGTGCAAGTTAAGGGGAATAATTTTAGCTTTTTGGTCCGTGAATTAAAGCTATTCCTTCCTGTTGAATATCTGCACCTGTTTTAAATTCTTTAAAATGGATTAACTTCTTCGGCTATTTGATTTTTAGTGAGATCAAATACGGTGGCAGCATTTATCGCTATTCTTGCTCATCGTCTCTGCGATTTGTTTGTACTGCACCACTTCTATATGCATGCGCCCTTGAAAAAGGAGAACACGGCACTCAAAACTGTGGAGAGACTGAAATCAGGCCCTCTTTTTAGAGTGTGGAAACAGAGCAATGGAATTAGAGGGCTGCCAATAGGTGGCACTGTGGAGTTTTAAACAAGCAATATATTTCCTTTTTGTTTCCCTTGAAACCTTGTACATTAAAGCATCAACGCAAATATATAAAATGCGATCAAGTTTAGCTGAGTTTAAAAAAAAAAGTGCAGAGAGAAGGTCCTGTCAAGAATTTTTATTTTGCCAATAATTATATGTAGTATACATTTTGTACCTCTGAGAATAGACGCTTGCTGTATTTTTCCTCAAAATAAATGATGGACTTTCGTAAGAGCCAAATAACCATATGCAATGCAACTTAGCAATGAATATTAAGCAAAACAATTGTTACCACAGTGCTTTAAATTGAATTAATATAAATCATGGCCTGTCACGTGCGCTGGGCCTCTATATAATCAATAGATCCTAGTGCAGTGACATTATTTATTAGCAAAAGAGACAGTACATTGTAATTGTCGATGAGGTCTGGCATAAAATTGGTTAATGGCATTAGGGATGATCCTCTGGAATAATTGGACAGCCACTTTATCTGCAATAATCAGTAGCCTGCTCTCCAGCCAAGGAGAAACTACAAGCCCCATAATGCTTTACGTTCATGCTAAAAATTGTGAATGTTGCCATCACAGGAGATGTAACAGCCAAAAAGCTATAGATGACTGTCATACAATAACTGATTTAGAGAATATCTGGATATATTTTGATTTGGTCAAAACATGCCCTTTTGTGAATATTAAATTATTAGCTCTTCTGGTTACCTCTTAGGGGTGTGCAAATGTACTACTCCAAAGCACTTTAACAAATCTAGTATTGTATTGTACACAGACACTATAAACATAATAATGTACTTACCCCTGTTTCTTTCACCCCTTCCCTCCTCCCCTCCACCCCCCAAAAAACAAACATAATTTAAAACATACATCTTGTTGATTTCATTAAATTTGTATTAAGTGTAATTGCTTAAATCATAAAGCAGTTATAAACCTCACATGTAGTGAGGTTTGAAACAAATTAGAGGGGGACAAAACATTTTTTGGAGTGGGGGACTCAATGTATCTGGTACACATCCTCAAGACGACTGCATTAGAAAAAAAGTTTATTTTTTAAAAGTAAATAAATATAGCATAACCCTAGCGATCCAATCTTGTAAGGAGTAACTGGTGCCTCTGTGAATGCCTGGGGCTTGCCTCTCTCGTCTTGTCACAATCAAGTACAAAATAGTTAACTTAAATGTGAAAGTGCAAAGGGCAGGGAGTCCCAGCCTGCAGTGATCAAATTACACTGTCTAACTGTACAGAGAGGTCGTCAGGAGTCCAGGATCCATTGCACCTCCTAGACTGGATTAGCCTTCCTATCGGTTAGTCTATGGGTAACCAAGAGGGAGCAACCCTGGGCCAACGTTCTGCTAAGTGGAGCAATTAGCAGGGGCATTCCATTGGTTTCCATGGTGACTGCATCACTTTTAGAACTTTACCCCAGAATTATTCTACACAAAAAACCTTCACCATACTGCAAATGTACTGGAAACGTTCCAGGTGGATTTGCAAACACCTGTACATAATGTATAGATGGTACAGCATGCTGCGTGTGTATATATATATATATATATATATATATAATTACACGGTTTATATACAGAAATTCCAAATACTGAATAATCTGCTTGAAGTCAGGCCTTTGAGGATACAGATTGATAACAAGTAAATAATAACTAAATACACTCACTGCAACAGTAAGGAAACATGGCATAAACGGATATTACAAAAATAAATAGTTAATGTATACACACACACTGTATAAATGTGTGTATAGTCCAGATGTTTCAATGAACAAAACACCCAATCTTCCAACTTATACATAAAATAAGTTCTCCTTCCTTTTTTTTTTCCTATATCCCATTTATATAAAAAAAATTATATAATAAAAATCCCATATCCCAATATCACTCGTTAACATGCTATAACATGCCGTGCAAATTGACATGAAGCATTTAAAGACACAGGAGCTTTGCAGTGTAGCCAGCTGTGCAGCGTGAAGTCACTGTACAGTAAAGTGAATCCCAGCAATCCGTAAGGTCTCCAAACCGACCAGAACAACCGCTCGAGCTATCGCGCGATTAATGAGTATCTTGTCTGAAGAGCTTGCAATCTTCCGCCTGACGCGTCCGGAGCGGACCCTTGATGTCTGCTCCAATAATGAGGCGCATTCTAGCACACGCGACACAAAGTGCAGGGTGAACAAACCTAGACTGGGTGCAAGTCCTGCTGCTGGTGATGAAGGGGTTACACGGTGCCTGTTAACCCAGCTGGTGCCAGGACCCTGTCCACACACAGGCAGGCATTGCAAAGCACTGAGACGGTGTTATTAACACTTCTGCTGCAAAATCCCAGTCTACAAACCCTTGCTGGACTTTGCAAAAATAAAACCAAAGTAAAGAGAACCATGCAATATTCTATTTGGACCCCACAGATCAGTTAACCCCCCTTACCCCAAAATGCCATGCCGAGTCCTTTGGGGAACTTTTAGTATTAACCCAAGTACGCCCAGATCAGTTTTAACCCTCTATTTCCCTGTACAAGCAAAGCATGCAATAGGTACCCTACACATGCATTCCAATCGTACAATTCCCCCAGCACCCCCCACCATCACCACCACCCATCCCAGCCCTCTCCTCCTGCCTTGTCCTTCAGGGTACCACCAGGATACAAGGAGTTAACCACCTTAGTTCCCAGCTGACAGTCAGCTGATCGCCCGGTGATTGACAGCTCTCTCAGCAAGCCCCCACTACCCTCCTCCCTTAAAGTTTATATACTATTATGCTAATGAGGCCTGGGATGCGGGCTCCCATTGGTCGGCTGTCCCCAGTCCATTTGCCATTTGGAACGTGACGTCAAAGGGGCTATAAAACTCAGCCTGGCTTTTAAAGGGCTCTGCTGAATGATCCTTTAAAAATCCTATCTGCCTGGCAGTGGGTGCTCGTCTATCTCTCTCTCCCCCTGTACAGCCAGTATCATCATCATCATTATTATCATTTTTTTGGATGGTAAAGGGGGTGGGGTGGGGAGAGCCAAGAGTGAAAGGAAAGAAGACTCTGCATTACCTCCTGCAAACTTCAGCCCAGCCTGAGAATGAAGTGTTAAAGCATCAAAAGACTTTCAGACTTCTTCTTCTTCTTCATAGAACGCTCAAAAACCCAGAATTCTAAGAAAGAATCCAGACTTTTTTCCTCCCTCCCATGCAGGATTTGCTGCAAGAAACCATGCCATTGCCCTAGGGAAGGGCTGGACCTGTTCATTATTTTTTTCCCATTCATTATTTTTAAAATTTTGGACAATTTTTTTTAAAAATTAAAAATCAGCCAAAGTGGCTCACCCAGACCCAGTGCCAGGTCAGAGCAGCCTGGTGCCCCCTCTGCCACCCCTGTGGAGGGCTGTGAGCAGCAGAAGGATGGCCTCCGATCTGGCCATGAGCAGCTCCGACCTGCCCACCAGTCCCCTGGCCATGGAATATGTTAATGACTTCGATCTGATGAAGTTTGAGGTGAAGAAGGAGCCGGTGGAGACCGACCGCATCATCAGCCAGTGCGGCCGCCTGATCGCCGGGGGGTCTCTCTCCTCCACCCCGATGAGCACGCCCTGCAGCTCGGTTCCCCCTTCCCCCAGCTTCTCGGCTCCCAGCCCGGGCTCCGGCAGCGACCAGAAGAGCCACCTGGAAGACTACTACTGGATGACCGCCTATCCCCAGCAGATCAACCCGGAGGCGCTGGGCTTCAGCCCGGAGGACGCGGTGGAGGCTCTGATCAGCAGTAACCCCCAGCAGCAGCCGCCCCACCACCCGCACCAGCAGCCGCAGCAGCTCCAGGGCTATGAGGGCTTCAGGGGCCAGCAGTACTCCTCGTCCGGGGGGGGCATCCCTGGAGAAGACATGGGGTCCCAGGCGGCCGCAGTGGTGTCTGCGGTGATCGCAGCGGCGGCAGCCCAGAGCGGGGCGCCCCACCACCACCACCATAACCACCACCACCCCGGGCACCCTGGAGGAGTGCAGTCCGCGGGAGGGGGTGGTGGAGGTGGTGGCAGCTCTCCGTCCTCCTCGGTGGTCGGCGGTCTCCAGCCCCACCACCACCACCATCACCACCACCACCTGCACTTTGATGACCGGTTCTCGGACGAGCAGCTGGTGACCATGTCGGTGAGGGAGCTGAACCGGCAGCTGCGGGGGGTGAGCAAGGAGGAGGTGATCCGGCTCAAGCAGAAGAGGAGGACCCTGAAGAACCGGGGCTATGCCCAGTCCTGCCGCTTCAAGAGGGTCCAGCAGAGGCACGTCCTGGAGTCCGAGAAGAACCAGCTGCTGCAGCAGGTGGAGCACCTCAAGCAGGAGATATCCAGGCTGCTCCGGGAGAGGGACGCCTACAAGGAGAAGTACGAGAAGCTGCTGGGATCCGGCTTCCGAGAAAACGGCTCCTCCAACAGCGACAACCCCTCCTCCTCCCCGGAGTATTTCATGTGAGTGTCTCACCCTGAGCTGGGTGGGTGGGGGGCACTCTGTGTGTGAGTGTGCATGGCACCTGTCCCCCCTGTCCTTCTTACTCCATGTCCCATTCATAACCACTAGAAGAATTTCAAACATTATTTCACAAATTCAACTTTCCTTCCCTTGTCTTCCTTTTCCCAATATGCCCCCCTTATCTTGTCTATACTTTACTTTCCCCTCCTTTTCCTCCTTCTTTCCATTTCAATATTTCAAACACTGCTTACACTGACACATTGACATTTCCAAACTGACCTTAGAGTTAGAGCTTAGTTATTATTTTTAATAATAATATTGGTTATTATTTATATAGCGCCAGCTTATACGCACGCTTTACAATAAGAGGGGAATTTACCAAATGAGACAATAACAAAATGTAACAGGAGCAATAGGTAGACCTTAGTGCGTCCACCTGTCCACCCCCTCCTCACCCCCCCCCATATTATTATTATTATTATTATTATTTATTATTATTATTAGGGGTGCAGTAGTGCCACTGGGGTGGACAGCAATGTACTTTGTATCACTTACCGTACAAAGTGAAGGTCCCCAGTTTAATGCAGGGAAGTCAGTATCCCTGTCAGCCCCAATGATGCTCCTCTGTCCTCTCCTATTTAACAGGTTGAAAACTTTTGCCCAGTGTTTACCTAACAAGCTCGCCCCTCCATTTGTAGTTAGTTGGCAAATCTTTGCTTTTGTCTATAGCTGTGAAGCACACTATGACAGTGACTGTGACTACATATCTTCTTCCATCTAGTGTTACCTCTGTACCTTCTAATAGGATGGGGTCAAACAAGTGAGAACCTCTTCTCACATACTTTTCCATTAAGGAACAAAATCCTTGCATAACTCAGTTCTACTACCTATTAAAATGTCTTGCTGTTCTATGCTTTATTCGTGGCATAGACAGAATCTACTGTATAAGAGAACATTAGAACATTATCTGTGCTCCTGCTGTCATTTAGCACCCCCCACCATCTTCCCTACTTACATATGGTTTCAAAATGTCAATTTCCTTGTGAAAAGCAAACCAAACCTTTCTGCCCCAAACCATTGCTTGTTAACATCACCATTATTTTACCTCTTCTAAAGTGTTCTGCTTTGTATGTTTTGTGTAGTATTTCCTCTCTATGCTGTATGTATGGGTTCTTGTGCATTCCTTTCTTCTTAATTTTCTGACTCCTGAGGTTTCATATTTATTGAGGGTGGGGGTAATGTATGTAGAGAATTAGGGGGTGTCTTTTTTGCATATCAATGGCCCTCAGTAAGTTTCGGGCGTGTTTGTAGTTACCTACAAACCTGATTGTATTGTAAACTAGCAGAATTTGGGGGAGTTTACATAAAAAACATCTCTCCTTCATCGATCTCCTCTCGCCATCATTGTTCTTGGGCTTGTCTTGCATTAAATCTATATTCCCAGTTAGCACTCATATGAAGATTGCTCTTTGAGATATGCCATCCACTTTATATTTATTTTTGCTTTGTTTTGTTTTTAAGGTCATGAGTTTTTGAGCTTGCTGTGTCAAAAAGAGCGAAAAAAAGAGAGAATTTTTGCCATCCCGAGTTCTTCATATGAGCTTGCAATAAAAAAAAAAAAAAATGTGAATTTTTAGACTATCTCGCTGAATTCATCATTTTTGAGAGTTGCTGTCCTAAAATTGAGGAGACGTAGAGCAACCTGCCAAAGTAAATCGAGCATCAAACTTCAAAGTTTCATGTGACGCTTTGGCCCAAATGAATGAGACTGGCCTGCCATTAAAATCCCATCTTCATCTCATATGCATTATGCTTGCTATTTGTGTCTTAGCAACAACGAACTGTATCTGTCAAAAGACTTTATGGAAAAGAGACTATATTATTAAGATAGCCTGCATGCTGGACATGTAAGGTATAATTATTTTTTTTTTATTTTGTTCTTTCCTTTTTTATGTTTTGCTTGGAAATGGACTTCTGAAGATTAATGGCATGATATTCATCTATATTTTTTCTTTTATGTTTTTTCTTTTCTTTTCAATGCCTCACCACTTTTTTGAGTTGAAAACAAAAAAAAGTGGAACCTTGATCCTCCCCAAAATGTAAAGTTTGCATCTGCTAGAGGGAAAACAATCACCCCATACCCCTAAAAAAACAAAAACAAAACAGATTTTTGAAATATGCAAAACTTCAGACTTCAGTAAACTAAAACATATGAAAAAATGCACTGAGGGTATCTTCTCCAAAAGTTGGCAGAAATTGACTTTTTTGTTATACAATGTGGCAAACACAAACAAACAAAAAAAGAACGTTAAAATGTCTCTTTTAAATGTATCTTGTATTGGGACTAAAATATGCTGTGAGCTGTGATGCAGTCTATAAGAAATTGTTTATTTTTAAAACAAATATTCTCCCTTTTGCGTTTGGTCGCTGTCAAATGTGGAATGCTCTGGGTTTGTAGTTAATTTAATTCATGTCTCTCTTTTTTTTTTTTATTATAAATCTGTTGGCCCAGTTATAAATGTATGCTACAGATAAAGGAATGTTCTAGATAAATTGGAACAAGTTAGGTCTGTTTTAGATGTAGAATATTTTAATAACTGATGCACTAAATTGTTTACTGTTGTGATGTTTGAAGGGGGTTGCAAATTTCATGGGGACTGAATTTTTTTTTTTTTTTTTTCTTAAGGGTAGATTGCAACAGCATGTGCTTTCAACTTAAATAGAAGTTGGGTATGTGTAAAATCTTATACTTCACCACTGACTGTATTTGAAAAACCAAAGTATTAACGGGGAAGTGGTGCCTCTATATCTAAGGGGTATTTTACATTCAAAAATGTGTTGTGTTTTTTTTTGTTTTTTGTTTTTTTTTCTTGAAATTGAAGTATTTGGGACTGAATTGCACTAAGATATAACCTGCAAGCATATAACAGAATGCAAAACTGTTTAGAACGCTAATACAAAATTTATGCAGTTATAAACAAACAAAATTAAAAAATGTATGGCATTACTGGACAGTTTAAAAAAAATGCAGTTTTTTATTTTAATTTTTTTTTTAACAGATTTATTGTGGTTCAGAACTGGATTTTCTGTAATGTCACAAATTCTACAATCTTAAAGGCAATAACCAGGAAATATAAACTTTTATCAGGGACTGATATCATGTCATTTACAAATGGATCGTAAACTTACCGTAATAATTATTTTAGATTCATGTTTGTTTTTTTTTGTTTTGTTTTTTCTTAAAAAAATTGTTTCTCTCCATATTTTGCTGTGCAAAATTGTTTTATATTTTGAGTTACTAACGAAAAGTGTGATAGGTGTTTGTATATGTATGTGTGTGTGTGTATATGTGTATATATATATATATATATATATATATATATATATATGTATGTATGTGTATATATATATATATATATATACATACACAATTTTTTTTTTTTTCTGTGCTTCGTTCCATTTCACTTCTATGGTTATATCTACAGAAAAAATAATCTACAATAATAAACTGCAGTTTTTGATTCTGTATAAAAACATGTGTGGCGTATGTTGATGGCGATTTTATTGTCTGCGCTGATTGATTTGTGCTGGGCTAACAATGAATATATGGCAGACGTATGAGGGGTGGAGAAGGGGGGGTTAGTAGGACCCAAACCTGTAAAATTCGAAAGTGTTTTCTACTAGCAATTTAATTTTGAGATTTAGTATTGTATAGAAGATATGTATTACTTTTTAAAGCATCCAGTTTATTTATTTATGTATTTTTTTGCTCCCATACTCATTCTGTGGAGCCCTTCTATAGTCGGGTCAGTATTTTCATTTGGTATATTTAAACAGATTTAATAAACCAAATTTATTTTCCATTGGGGCAAGGTCTTCCTAATTAAGTTTACACCAACTGTTAAAATGTACACATCTTTACATCTTTCTGCCTAATGAGGTCCAGAAATGATCAACTCTAACAAACAGGTGTGTAATGTAGTGAGGAACGTGGCAGGGATGTGGACAGACCCTTCTGCTGGTGACAGTTCAGTCTGTGACTTTTAGTTTCTATGGAATCCTTATAATTGAGACTATAATTGCTGTTATGATTACAAATCAATCGATTGACATAAAGAATCTTTTTGCAGGTTTTACCCATCGCTCTGCAAAGATAATCGCCCTTTATCCTGTTTTGTATCTTTTCACATATATATCTATATCTACCCTTATGTATAATTTTATTCTACAGGATAGCATTCACTAGAAAACTACAAATTATCCCCCAGAAAGATGAGAAGATGGATTAAAAAAAAAAAAAAAAAAATCAATTCATGTCTGTAGAAGATGGTTCTGTAGATAGAAGGGGAAAAGGTGTCTTTGTGGCTGAGGAAGTTAGTGGTTTTAAATGTGTTTTTATATTCATTTCGTGGAACTTTTTGAGCGCCAATCAGTAGTAATATTTATCATTACATCACTGCTGTTCAGTAGGAAGGATGGCAGTTTTAGTTGGGACCGTCAACCTTTGACATTTGACCTCTACCTTTAGACCATTGTTTGAACAAAGGTTGCAAATTTGTATTCCAGATCATTTAAACAGCTAATCTATAGTCCAAGGGTGAGGGGGATCTAATTTAGGAGGGAGCCCATCTGTAATAATATAATAATCACAGCCAACCTGTTATACTATACTTAATACGCATTGAGCCTTTTCGGTCTGGTGTGCTTGCTTTGCAGGTAAGACTCCTTCCAGTGAGGAAGGGGTTAATTTGTATACACAAATCTTATCATCTCTCCAATACAAACTTTAATGTTCAGGGATAATAGTACAGTCAGACTGTGGAAGCCAGGAAGTCTGTCAGTGACTGCTCATACCAGCCTTAGATACAGCTTAAGTAAAACACTCTCTTTCCTGCCTTCTACCTTACACCGTAACTGTCATGTAACCATTCTAGAGAGGAGGGGGGGAGATATAAAATATAGCGTAAACATCTGCCTTCTAACATGGGTTTCATATATTATAATCTGCCCAGTATTGAGACATTCATAATGCAAAATATAATGATTTTTCAATATTTAAATCCTGCCTCGGGAGTTTGTTTTTAATTTGTATTTTTTATTATACTTTTTTTTTTTTTAAATCTTGTTTCTCTCTTTTGTCAAATAGAAGGGATCTCATTACTCTGCCAGATGTAGGCACATTTTGTCTGAAGGTGTTGAAATGTAAAGTGTGTGTGTGTGTGTGTAACACACAGATAGATATGTATATGTGAGAGAGACAGATCATTTCGCTTTCTAGATGCCTTGCTCAATTCATATCCAATAACCGTGCAATAGAATTGAGTCTGAGTAATTTGAATATTCTAGTTGGGGTTCCATTATGCAAGTATGGTAGGTTTCATCGCAGAGCCATGCGACTCAACGTAACATTAAATAACCTCTAAATGAGTTTGTGAAGGGTCTGAAGGAAAACGTGTTAATCTGCAAAAATAATTAGCTGAGAAATTCTGATCTTTAACCCTTTGAGTGACTGGAGGAAGGTCCAGCTTGGCCTGTCTCTCCCCATCTAACAGATTTAGTTGAAGACAAGTCAAAGCGACTTTGTGTCGGTCTTCCTGGTTTGTTTGTTTGGGCGGTTTGTTGTTTTTGTTTTGTGGATGCTTATTAATCATTTTTTTTGAATGTAAGATGTCTTACATTTCATAGTAATCATCATAAATGCATCCTATTCATTGATCTGACTTTTAATATGGTAACAGTGATGCTAATGCATAGCAGTAACGTGTCCCACATTACCTGAGGTTTGTAAGACGAGAAAAGTCCAATTTGCTCACAGCTTTTTCAAAGACTTTTTTAATACGGTAATAAGGATAATTTATGCGAATGCATCTTAAAGTCAGGTAGGCCTCGCTTCCCAAAAGGTAGCTTAATCTTTTAGCAATAATTTTTCCAATTATCACAAACTATTGTCTCTGTGACACTTTTTTATTTTTTTGTTTTATGGCATAGGTCAAATCTTAGTAATGATGAAGAAAGCAGCAAAGAGGTTCTGTAACTGCACAGACCATACCTACATGCAATACTGTTACGACCGTATGAATGCACTCGTTAAACAACCTTTTAGCTTCAAAATTTGCAAAAAAAGTAAATAAATGAAAAATACAGATATATTCACTGAGTACGGTCATACTCTAATGAATTGCACTAGAGGAAAAGTCATTTTATTGGCTTTATACGTGAAAGCAAATCCAGACATTCCAACAGAACTGCTGCTGCTTACCACAAAAACTGAGTCTGCAGTGTAGATGGTCATAGATATAGGATCATTCACGATGCTTGAGAAATATATCCTTGAACAGAATTACAGTATCAGATGCAGTTTATACTTCCTGGACTGAACTGGTAAATTATGTATAGGGTACATTAGAATCATCTTTTCAAATGCCACAGATTACTATCCTCTAAACACGGTGATCTGGAAGGAAATACATTTTTTGTTTGTTTGTTTTGTTTTTTCTTAAATCAACTTTAAAGCTGTTAATTCTAACTCCGTGTAAGCAACACCTGTTTAGGAGACTGGAGTTCAGCCAGAGTTGTCAGGAATATATATATATATATATATATATATATATATATATATATTTTTTTTTTACGGGGTGGGGGGAGAATTGCTGGTGAAGAATGAATGAGAAAGAGAAGTTGTAGAATTAGACATTTTTTAACATCGTGCAGCTGCTCTGAAGTATTTTATTTATTTCCATTTCATTATTTTTTTTTCACGGAAAAAATAGTTTAGCATTTTTATTTCATTTTTTTTTTTTTTTCTAATCTTGCTCAGCCCTGGAGAATGTATTTTTTTTTTTTTTTAACTATTTCATCCCAGCCAATCTGATATTTTGGCAAGTGGGATATTTATTGGCGCTTTTATAAATACTGTAATAATTTATCAGCATTTTTACTATTGGAATTTGTATTGAATCTAAATATATTTAGAAAATATTAGTTATTTTGTATTCTGGAATAGACTCATTGAGACATTTTCACTTTTCAGTTGTTTACCCTTAGATGTATTACGAAGAAAATATTTATTTATCGGCAGCAAGACAATAATTAGAGTGAGTGAAAAGGACCAGTAAGTCTCCTGGAAAATATATTGATTGATTGTATTGATTGAAACGTGAGACCAATGGATCAATTGAATCTAAATAAAGCAATATTATTATTATTATTATTTTTTTTTTTATAGCCTGGTGATGGACTAATGTAACCTAGCGTGAATTATACTACTTTGTTTATTTTTGCGAGTTGTTCATAGCATTAGAAATACACTCATCTGCATTATTTTTATTGCCATAGTTTAATTTGTAAGGCCATTGTTGTTTAATAGCTGTAATTATTATTTTTTAACCATTAAATATTTCAAAATGCAGTGGACCGGAGGATAGATTTTGCTTTTCATCATTTAAATTGTGTGTAGTGGATCAGAGGGCACATGACTTACCTTAAAGATATCTGGTTAGTGAAATATTGCTGGCACTGTTTGTTTTATTTCACAGTCTGTCTCTGCTAAGCCTGTTGTAGAATGCATGACTGGATAAGAGGAACAGGGAAAAATAATTTCATAAGCAAACGGGGACTACTTGTTGTTGCATCATCCAGTGTCGGTGTCGGCTTACTTCTGCACTGCAGACCCTTACAAACTACATATCCCATGATGCTCAATCAGCCCAACATCAGGTTTTAAATTAAAAAAAAAAAAATCTTTATTGTGCAAAATGTTTCCAGCCAACCCAGAAATTTTTGTTTTATTTCAGCCACAACCCGTAATTGAAAGAATATTTACTGACTTGCTCTGGGTACTTTTTTTTTCTTTCTTTCCTTTCCTTTCCTTTCCTTTTTTTTTTTTTTTTTATTGAAAGAGTTTTATGACTGTTCAAAAGCATTATCTATTTATTATAATTATATATATATATATATATCACTTGAGGTCTGCAACAGATCAAAAGAGTCTTAAGCGTCTTCATCACTGGAAAGACTAATTGTTCTTGTTATGTGTGAGCAACTATTTTGTAGTAAGCGAAGCTCACAAATATAGGGTGTCTATAATAGAATAACTTTCTAGGCTCCACGCAAAATTAAAAGTATCCCCCCCCAACTCCTATTTAAAGATGTTGAGGTGTACAGAGAAAATATATATGTAAATATGCAACAGTTGGCATTTCTTGGGGGGAGGGGGGGGTATATATATTAGTGTATATATATTTTTTGAATTTTCACTGCACCATATTTCACCTAAATTTACATTAAATGCCTGTGTGACATAAGCATACATAATTGTTGTTGGAATTGTTTTGCTCTGATTCGCAGATTTATACATATAATTAATATAGGCCTAAGCCCCCATATTAGCCCTATCCGTAAAAAAAAAAACAGATTGATCTTTAAAACTTTATTTTTTATTTTTTTAAATACTTTTCAGATTTAAATCTCTAGCTCGAACTATGGGCAGTGCGAGAGTTAACTATTCTTAGAGAAGACAAAGAAAACCTAAACAGAAATTGCGAACCAATAAACTATAAAAAAAAATCTACATGGGTCATACAAAATGTATAACATTTTTAGTTATCGTTTGTATCTTCAAATATCCCGCACAAAAACAAACTATTGCAATAGGAAGCTAGGATTTTACAAATGTGCTAATCTGTTTATTTTGTAGCAAATCGCTGAAGATGTATCGGTTATAGTCTGCTGTGCTGAGTTGATTTCACGCAGTCTTCTGCGAGGAGTTTAAAGGAGAAAAAAATTTGGATTCTTATTTTATCATTTCCCCCACCCCCCTTTCTTTATTTAACACCGTCATTGCATTTTAACCCTAGGAATTGGAGGAGAATGTGTTTTAATTCTGACAGTGAGATTGCCATGCACAGACCAGGGACTGCATAGGAGACAAGCTAATTTTAATCAGCACATCACATTTCCTGTGTAGCTGTGGCTGCAGGTTTGTGTAACCCTCTCCGATTTCCCCTGCAGGTACTGCTGCTAGTGCCAGCGAGGGAGAAGGCTTCTGGGTAAATTCGCTCTTCTTGCTAAGGTAGCAAGTCGAGGTATTAAGGAGAGCAGGAGAGCAATATCTGTTGTTGGGACAGGGAGGTAGCAGCGTGATTTACAGCGCGCTCAACGCAGCCGGAATTTAACGCATAATGAGATTTTCATCAGGTTTAAAAGGTGTTTTCCTATTTAAAAATTCCACGTGCTTTCCGTAGATTATATCCCCTCTGTCAGACTGGCAGTTTTAGTAGGCCCGGCAAGGTCATTCTGTCACACACTAAAGAGCACATATGTTTCTTGATAATTACTCATCTCGAGACTTTCACTTTATGATTTTAGAAAGATGTCTTCTTGTATTTTTTTTTTTTTTTTATATATATATATTTTTTAACCCTCTGAGCTGCCAGGGTGGATTTTTTTTATTTTTATTTTTTTGTGTTAATTTTCTCTTCAGCTGTAAAGGATGTTGGGAATGGGATCACAGGTCTATTATTTCTAATTCAGTCTATATAATCGTCTAATCTCCCACTCCGTTTATTATGTTTGGCTCTTTATGGCCTGTTTAGTGAAAATTAATACACTAACAAAGTGTAACTTCTTCTGATGATCACTCTGACACATACACACAGGTATCTCTAGGTATTTGTGTGTGTATTTATTTATTTTTATATATATATATGTATAGTCAATATAATGTGAAACCAAAAATCTGCACACCAGTCAAGCCATAAGACTTGCTCTTCCCACAGAAATCACACATGTAGATATAGATGTGTATGTATATGTGTAGATAGGTGTGTGTGTATTTGCATATGTCTTTTAACTCCTCATAAATGGTTTCTTTTTAGTTACAAAATACAAATCTCTAATACTAAACTACCATATTTTATTGTGTGTGTGTGTGTGTGTGTGTGTGTATATATATATATAGTGATCATGGGTATATAGATAGGCAGGAAGTTATGAAATTAGTAATCGCTGTAGAATAATTAAGGTACTGTGAAACTGAATGACCCAGTTCTACTTTTATTTACAAGATTTGACACTTTTTTTTTTTTTTCCTGCCCGTTCTGAGTGGGGGAGTTCAGTCTATTTTTTTTTTTGCAGAGGTTAATTAAAAATCAGCACGGTTTGTTCCTGTACTAAGTCTCAAAATATTAACGCACAACTTTATTGTTGCAATACTGGGTCCCAACATTCCTCAATTGATACCTTTTGTCTAGGTGTGGACATCTCATTGTTGACCTTGCTTCACAGATTTTGCTGTTTGTGTAATGAGCCTTTGTGTGTGTGTGTGTGTGTGTGTGTGTGTGTGTGTGTGTGTATAATAGGGGGCAGCCTAGTCCAGTTGCTTCTATTTCATGCACAACAAAAATAATTTTTATATATTTTTTTTTTTCCCAAGGAGAATTTGTAATTCTTAAATGTTGAAGAGCAAAGCATCATTTGGGAGGCCAAAGTCTCATGAATTCCACAAAGAAATCAGCTATAGAATGAGTAACATAGAGCTCTGTTATACACCTACTGCACTTAGAAATGTGTAACACCTGAATAGTCAAGTGGGTCACAGGTTTGAGCTAAAAAAGGGGTGCCCTTCTTCCTGGGTTTTTTTTGTTGTTTTTTTTTTTTTTAAATCCTCAAATATTTATATCATGACCACTGACGAACGTTAAATCCAACAAAACTGAAATGCATTTTTAAAACCTATGTTTAGTGAGGCGCCCTTGATCACAAAACGTAATAAACAACATTATTATTATTTATATAGCACCAACAAATTCCGCAGCGCTATACATATACTCCTATTCTATTTTAAAATCTCTAACGTTGTTGCACAAATTAATAACCTGGACAGCAGCCTGCCAACTCTGTAGCTCACATGATTACCTCCTCATATGCTGCTTGCTACCATCAGTCCTTAACCTAGCGTTGGTTTTCCATCTCACAGAGCTGTGCTTAGTTGCAGGTATCCTAATATTCATTGGTTAATTGGTTTACATCACCTGCACAGTTATTTTAGTTTCTAATTCCACTTGCCGGTGATTAGGAGCATTTAGGCACTTCTGTTGCCTGAGAGAAATGTTGACACTGACCGTCTGTAATTTTATGGCCTATTCATAGAATTTTTTTCGCTTATCCTTGATTTATTTCAGTCTGCCGGCAATGTATCTGCGTCCACAACTGGGTCTCCCCATATTTAAACCGCTGCTGATGACATCGGCATTATATATTATGACATGTGCGAGACTGCCAGCAGTATCTCCGGGGTTTAAATTTCTGCAGTGTGTTACATAATACAGCTGTGTACGCAGTGACATTTTGCACCAGGCGCCCATTAATGCAGCTTCAGTAATGGGAAAAGAAAGTAGGATTCCGGCCTACGGGCTAGTGCGATGGCTGCTTTTATTTTGTTTGGAAATGAGGCTGCAGCGTTTTGCGTTTCTGCAGTGTCTCTTCCTGCTAGATACAACTAACAAGTCTCTATATTGCTGCAGAAGGTAACACAATCACAGCCGATAAAGAAGGGGCTCCGCAACAAAAGGAACTAAAAATCCTTTTCGTTGTTACGTTACAATGCACTGTCGTATAACGGCACACTATCCCATTTTAATGTTAAAAAAAAAATTCTCCTTTTTAATTCTCAAATTTTCTTGAAGATGTACAGTTGTCTGTTTCTGGTTGTCTTTGCAATATATTAGTGAAATTTTTACCTCTGGAGAAGAACGGTGTTTTTCGGTTTTCAGAACACTGTGATTCTTCTTATATTTTAAAGAAAAAGGCAGGAAAAACTTTGCTCTGATTTTCACCCCACCCTCCCCTCCCCATGTAATCTGAACACAGTCTTCCTTTACTGTCTCTCTCTCTGCTCACCCAATGTGTTTCAGATCCCTGTGGCTGGAATTGCTTAGTGAAATCTAAGGCAAAGGAGTATGATGACTTGTTAATTAACTGGCTGATATAGAGTAGCCCCAGTAGGGGAATTGTGGGTCTCCGGAGGAGCATTGCAAGGAAATAACATCTTCTTGTGTGTGTAAGCGTGTTTGCATAGGGAAAGTTAGGTAGTCTTCTCTTATTCTGGCTACCTATCTGCTCCATTCCCCCTGAAGGCCTGTAATCTGATTGAGTATACAATAAAGTATCTTAGATCGGACAGCAATGCAGTCTCTGAATCAGGCCGGATGGAGTAAGTATAGTATTTATTTATTTATTTTTGTCTGAGGATACAAAGAGTGAGACATCCTAAAGGGAAAACCAAAGATATTTAAGAAAGAAAATTTGGCAGGGTTGGCTCTAAAACGTGCAGCATAGTACTAAAATAGTTTAAGGGCAAAAAAAAAAAAGGGGGGGGGAGTGGGGCTTCTGTTAAAAATCTCAAATTTCATTTTTTTTTTTAACTGAGTTGCTTGCTTTACAGCAGGGATGGCTAGACTGCATTTCCCATGATGCTATGCCAGCAGTGTAATTGTCTGAGCATTATGGGAATATGAGTCCGCTAACTCTGAAGTTACCACAAGCTTGCTAGCTATTCCTGTATAAGTGAAACCCTGGCTGTGTGCTAGACTAGGAACCAGCTCAGTGTCCTTCAGTATTTTAATTGTTGTGAAAGTTCTAGAACACAGAATTAAAGCAGGAAGAGCAGCCATCTTGTGTCGCCGGAGCTTCTCATACTAATGTAAATTGGGCGTACCGTAGTGTCCCTAAAACAAACGCTTTAATGTCTGCAGTCTGCTAATCTAATTTTATTCATAAAATATGCTGTGGGTTGAGGGAGAAGCATTCCTCTTAGATTGAAGACGAGTATTGATGCTTTATTTACTGCAAAGTGGTGTGAATTACCAGAGATCTCTATATCCAAACATTGTTTTTCCATGCAATATTACTGGGGACTCTGTGCAGCTACGTGGATTGCCAAGAATGAATAAATAATTAAAAATACGCAAAATGCTCTCTCCTTGTATGACAACACCGTAACAAAAACTGAAAGACTGCAAGTGTATACATTAAAAATATGTTGACAAAGATTTGCATTTGTTAAGTATATATTAGTTATTTGAGGGATAATTTCTTCATACTATCCAATTCCCCAATATTACTCAATAACTGTTCTTAGATGATCTCTGGCCAATTAAATTCTTGTAGAGTAGTACTGGGATCTTGCTGTGCATGCGTGGCAATTATCTCACAGAGAAGTATTATCCCACTTCTCCTCTATGGGAAGCATTCTCTGCATTCAGCATCATTATGCTCGTTGTGATGATGTTCAACAGAAAGACTTTTAATTACTGAAAATCTTCACTAGGATGTGCCTATAGTGGCTTTTTGATTGACCGCAACTGGGGGCATTCAGACTAAAGGGTAACAATAGCTGTTTCTCACATAGGGCAATGCCTATACAGACACTGATCACTTACCGACCGGGTTCCGTTCCTATGACCCGGTCGTAGAACGAATTGGTCAGTAAGTGACGGCTCACACTTACGAATGGTCGTAAGTGCGAGCTGTCGTAAAACAGGTAGGTCGCTAAATGAGGACCACCTGTATTTGTGACACCAATTGGAAAGGGTCTACGTACCAAAACCACTATATTTCAATGTAATATTTTTGATGCTTAGTGTGTCCCTCTATTGTACAGCTCTATGGTCGATAACCTGTAGGCCGCAACTTGCGAACGACTGGACATTAAATAGCATTTTGATTATCTGTGTTTAGAGATTTAAAAGGTTACTCACTAATGTGTGATTTTTAAAATTTCATCCACAATAGCTGACTGAAAAAAAATCTCCAAGCCAGCTAGGATAGTTTGGGCTAAAATTTTGAATTTGAATTTGACACTTTGTTGAATAGCACATTTGATCTGTGGAAGGGTTGCTTGAAAGATGCCATTCGTTTTAGTGGTAAGCAGTCAAAAATGTAAAAATAAATTACACCCCCAAACACTGTTTCAGTATGGAGTAACAGAACATCTGGTCAATGTGATTAATATACGGACCATCTCTAGGTAGTTTGGGTAAAGACAGAACGTGGCATTTAGATTTTCATGACTGGAACGTTTCCAGACTAAACTTCAGGATAAATGAATATTGTATTGATTAGTCACTAAAGTGGGAATTGTCAGGAATGAAAAAAGTAAGTTTTTTTTTTTTTTTCTTATTCTTCTTCTTAAGGGAATTTAAAATTTTAGACTACTACAACCAAAATGGAAACATTTGTCAAATTTTTATTTTCACTTTAACCGTTTTGGAGTAAATGTTGGAATTTGCCTAAAAAAAAAAAAAATCACATGGAATTTTCAAACCGCTTACACTTTTGTCAATAACCCTGTTCGTTTTAGGAGGGTGTCTGCAATGCTTTGTAACGCGTATCGTTTAGTGATAAGTTTTTCCTCAAAATGTTTTTACTACAAACTTCTTAACCATTCTGGAATAAGCTCAGTCCTGGAGCTCTGTATGTCTGTAAGGTTCTAAAAGGTTAATTTCTTAATCCTGACAATGTCTCCACTTTCTGATTAGGATAAAAATAAGGTTCATATTCTTATTTCATGCCTGCCAACCATACCTATTTTGGGCCTGCATCTCTCCATTCTAGGAACTCCACATTATTGGTATGTTTGAGTGTATAATGTATATTGTTTAACTACAATAAATGTGTTTAGAAATCTATGTAAATAAGATTCATGGTTATTGATCTAAGTTACATTTAGTTTAACCCCTTAAGGACACATGACATGTGTAACATGTCATGATTCCCTTTTATTCCAGAAGCTTGGTCCTTAAGGGGTTAATAAAGTATTAGTAAGTCATCTAAAATCTTTCAACACAGCCCACCCTTTTTCTCCATTTGTATCTTATTCTACCAGTTCTATTACATCATACCATAACGGACAGCCCTATCTTGCTGTTAGTGTAGTTCCTGAATGTAGAGTTAGGAAGATGATGAAAATCAGTGGTGGTTTGTGTGCGGTCAAGTGGACAGATCGAAAGCCCTTATTCCACCGGAGTTCAGGTTACTAGCAATATAGGAAAAGAGACCTTTAGGATAAAGATAAACTTAGCAAGCCATGGGTCCAAATAAGTATCTAAATACATTACATAGTTGTTTGAAGAATCAAGGCCCTTAGCCTGATTGTTCAAAAGCAGATTTTTATTGAATAGAGTGTGTGTTTTTTTTTCTTCTTCTTATAAATAAGGATATTAAAATGCTTTGTATTTCTCCAGTACAAAATCCTGGATATGCCATTGTGAAAATCGGATGCCAATTCCCTTTTTATTTGTAACTCATCCATTGTATACAGTCCTACTCCTCTATCGTGTCATGCATTTAAGTCCTCATTTATTGCCTCCTCTTTTATTTCAGCTTATCAGGTGATTGCTCCTGCCTTTAAATGCTGTTTGGAAAAAAAAAATCAATCCAAAAAAAAAAAATCAATAAATACATAGTCTTATTTTCAATTCATTTAGTTCCCATAGGTAGACAGACTGATTCTTGCCTACAAATAGCCTGATCTGAAATACAATTGGCATTATCAACAATGCAAGACACTGAGGGGTGTATTCACTATACCCTTGCAGGGGTTTTAGAATGGAATTTCTAAATTTAGGCCGGAACTGAAAATTTCTCCCAAATCGGCACAACTGACATTTTGTCATTTGGTTTTCAATTTACTAGTTGTTTGGTTGATTTTGTTTTCATGAATAAACCTCAGTTTGTTTGTGTTGTTGTTGTTTTTTTTTTTTGTTTTTTTGTTTTTGTGTTTTTTTTATTACACATTGGTTATATTTAAAATCTTTTATTTTTAGTTTTTATTTGCGTATGGAATACATAATCTATGCAAAATTATTCAATCTGATTACATGATCAAACAAGCCTTTTAGAATAGACATCATTTTATAATAACATATATAAATTTTATTAAATTTTCACGTGTGTGGATGTGTGTGTGTGTGTATATATATGTATGTATATATATATATATATATATATATATATATATATATATATATATATATATATAAATAAAATGTGTGAATATACACACACACACACACAAAGTAAAGACAGAAGCACTCTCTGTTTTCCAAGTGTATTCAAAAATTATCACAATCTATACATCGTTTCGACCCTCCAGGTTCTTTATCAAGACCCTAGAGGGTCGAAACGTTGATGTTTAGATTGTGATAATTTTTTAATACACTTGGAAAACTGAGAGAGTGCTTCTGGCTGTACTTTTGTATGCTCTGCTGGGAAGCTCCCCAGCATAGTTTCACTTTTATATATTTTTAGGTTGAGTGCCAGAGCCTGGATATATATATATATATATAATAGAGAGAGATGTGTGTGTGTGTGTATATATATAATATAGAGAGAGAGGTGTGTGTGTGTATATATGTATGTATGTATGTATATAAAATATACCCTCACACACAGGTGTGAAAATTGGATAACATTTTCTTTCCTCCCTCTTGAAACTGAATGCATTAATAACAGGATGAATTCATCCCTGGCATGAAAGTAGAGGTCATATTGAGGAAAATGACACCGAATGTCTAAAAATGTCATCTACTTGAAAAGATCTCTGGCACAAGGCCAAGATCAGCATTTAAGGCAGCACTGATCTTGTGCTTCACAAGTAACACTGCAGCACATCTGCATCTCCGAAATCTTGCAGTGGCACCTTAAACAGAGCAAGATATCATTTGTTACACTGCTATATATTTTCTTTCCATCTCAATAAACAGAGGCAGGCTTCTTTAATTTAATGAGCCAAACGAAGCCTGCCAGAGTTTTCTAATCCAGAGGATCCTGAAAATGTGAAAGGCCTTTTCACTTGTTAGACAAATGCTATAACTATCAGTAAAATTATCCTTCTAATGTTGGACTCTCTTGTCATTTCTTCAAAGTACAATAGGGCTTTATTAATACTGCCCCAAAGTATCATTTATTCCAAAGCATCTATTACAGGAATCAGCTGAACCCCCTTACAACAATGTGCGAACTGAACCTATGCAGTTTGGAGTTAATTCAGGAGGATTGAGGGTCTGTGTATGTACTGTGGTAAGAAGGGACATATGAGGTAGACATGTGCAATTCGTTTCGGTCCGAATATGAATTCGGACGAATTTCGGGCAATCCCTATTCCCCCTCGCAGCCCCCCTCTCTTTTTCTGGGTTTCTGAGTTTCGGGATATGCAAGGTATTTCGTTTTTCTCCTTCATAGTGTGAATTATTTATTTAATTTTTTTAGAAATACGTTGCAAAACAAATATTTTATATTGAAATTAAGTATTCATGTGTCATTTCCTGGGTTGCATTATTTTAGGGTGTAATTACAAGTACAGTACACCATTTCAGCACCTCTTTTTTTTTTTTTTTTAATTCAGATTTTTCTTGAAAAGACAAAATTCTATTCCTAGTATTTAGATACTTTAGTATTAGAGAATACATAAACCATTATTTCACTGAAGATTGTTTTTCTAAATATCTCTAATATTCAGAACAACTTTCCGACCTGTATTTTTTATTTTTTTTACTCTGTAACTAAATTAAATTTTTTCTTTTTCTTTTGGATACAACATCTTTTCTAGATTAAGATGTGCCAAATAATTTATTTTGCTAACTGTTAAATGTCAGCATGTAGGTTTTTCTCGTGTGGAGTGCCCCTATTATTATTATTATTAATAAATGAAGTGACAAAGACTCAAAATAAGACTATTGCAGTATGTACAAATATGCTTTTTCTTTTTTTTTTTTTTTTTAAGCATAAAATGTTTTTACGATGAGCATTTGAGATGTACAAATCATGTTTAAACATAAATATTTCAATTATAAAGTGAGTTTATTACAGTTTAAAAACTGTTACTTCTGTAAGTATTATATTATAGATTTAGTTTATATATCTTATATATTTGTGTGTGTGTGTGTGTGTATATATAGTTACATAGCTGAAAAGAGACTTGCATTCCTCACGTTTTTGCTGTTGATCCAAAAGAAGGCAAAAAACCTAGTCTGAAGCATGTCCAATTTTGCAACAAACTAGGAAAAAATTCCTTCTTGACCCCAAAATAGCAGTCGGGTATCTCCTTGGATCAAGCAGCTATTACCCCACTAATTAGAAATTATATCCCTGTATGTTATGTTTTTGCAACTATTTATCCAATTGCAGTTTAAACATCTGTATGGACTCTGACAAAACCACCTCTTCAGGCAGAGAATTCCATATCCTTATTGCTCTTACTGTAAAAAAACAAAAAACAACCTTTTCTTTGCCTTAGATGAAATCTCCTTTCTTCCAGCCTAAATGTGTGACCTTGTGTCCTATGTGTAGCCCTGTTTATGAATAGATTTCCAGATAATGGTTTGTACTGGCCCCGGACATGTTTGTATAATGTTATCATTTCCCCTCTGAGGCACCGTTTTGTCAAACTAAAGAGATTTAAATTTTTTAACCTTTCTTCGTAACTAAAATGCTCCATTTCTGTTATCAATTTTGTAGCCCGTCTCTGCACTTTCTCTAGTGCCATAATATCCTTCTTTAGAACAGGTGCCCAAAATTGCACAGCATATTCAAGGTGTGCTCTTACCAGCGATTTATTAAGAGGCAAAATTATATTTTCATCCCGAGAATTTATGCCCCTATTTATTCATGACCTTACTGCCCTTAGCTACTGCAGTTTGACATTGCATATTGCTGCCTAATATATATTGTATTTACAGTTTATAGGAAATAACTAGAATTCTCTTTATTTTTTAATGTATTAATGTGTTGTTTTTATTTGTCTAAGCAGCAACAGAACAAAGAGTTAGAACAGTATTTCAGTAGTAATTTATTTGTTTGTATTTTTTTTTTATTTTTTTTATTTACTTTATTATTGAACACGAAAAAAAGACAGCGGGTTATTTACTTGCAGTGAATTGAAAAGCAAATTGCTAATGTTGGGCAAAAGTACTGAATTTTGGAGGGGTGGGGGAGAATCATAAGCTCTGTAATCATAGCTGGGCATTTTTTGTGTGCAATTTTGTGTACTTATTTGTCTATGTAAATGTACCTCTAAATTTAATTTATATATATATATATATAATAAAATATATTTGTACACACACATGCACTTGTAAGCTGTACAGCACCAAACTGGTTATTTTTTTCTTATACAAACTCCAGCCTCCCTGCTGTATAAATGTTTTATTATTGCAGACAAGATCCTATCAGTGTATTTAAGGTGCTGTGAGTGTGAAATCTTTCTGTATTAAATTTGTGAATATTCATGACCCCTTGTTTCTTTTGATATATCTGCTTGCCCAGGTACACTCGGGAATCCTCCACATCCGTGATGTGAAAATCGTTGATGCCTGAAGTTCAAAAGGTACGTCTTGGCTTTACATTCTGCGCTTGTTGAAAATAAATAAATTAAAAAGGGCTTGGAGTTACATGCATGTCTACAAATAGCTATTGAATGCTGTAAAGTGTATATCGAGGATAGGGCGGAAGAGCGTTCTTTATACAAAGAGTAGTGCACATCCACAATCTGTTTGTATAATGTAACGTCCCCGGATATGAATAAAATACCACCCCGGAAGTTAACGCCATGTCTGCCAGAAGTCGCTCAGTAAAATTAAGCGACATTGTAACTGTAACCTTATTAAACACGATGGAACTTAAAGTCTACCAAAGCCATAATGCTAGGCATTGCCACTGTGGACTGCGTGTTAAAAATATGTAATTTACTTAGCTATATTTAGCTTTTTTTTAAATTTTTTTACAAATATTTTTTTAATAAGTTTATTGGGTGGCATTTTCATTCTATTTCTATCATTATTTTTATTATGTTATTTTTATTGCATCCTTTACTGGTTGTTCTAGTTTTTATGTATTTTGTCTGTGGCTTTTTTAAGATTCCTTCGGGAAAATCTAGCAGAATTCTAATTTTGCCTAAAACACAGAACACGACTTAGATTGAGTCGAAATGTTTCACCTGCACTACTAAGAGTAAAGATTAGACTTTACAGAGAAATAATCATTCATTCTAAGTGATCAGATCCTCTTTTTTTTTTAATTATTATTATTATTCTGTGCTTTCCATGTGGCATGGTAAGCTTTGTATACATTTTTACCAATATAGTACAATAACAATGGGAAATATTATTTGATAACATTTGTAAGATTTTTCTGTATTATATACTTAGTTTCTGGTTGTGGGTTTTGTTTTCATTTTGTATCCTTTTTCTGAGTTTGCTACAATGTGATAAATTCATTTGGATTCTTCTGGCCATTCGATATTTTTGCGCAGATTAACAATAATTTAATGATATGTTATTAGGACAGTTTGTTCATTCAGTTTTTTTTCTTTTTTACACAACATATGTTATATATTTTATTTTTTGCCCTGTAACACAATGTCCCTATTATTGTGAACATACTGTTACTTGATATACTTTGTTTACTGAGCTCTATTACTGTGGACATAGTGCTGTTTTGTCCTCGTTACTGTGGCCGTAGTGCCGTTGGTCCTCGTTACTGTGGCTGTAGTGCCACTGGTCCTCGTTACCGTGGCCGTAGTGCCACTGTTCCTCATTACCGTGGCCGTAGTGCCACTGGTCTTTGTTAGCGTGGCCGTAGTGCTGCTGGTCCTCGTTACTGTGGCCGTCGTGCCGCTGGTCTTTGTTAACGTGGCCGTAGTGCCGCTGGTCTTTGTTAGCGTGGCCGTAGTGCCGCTGGTCCTCGTTACCGTGGCCATAGTGCCGCTGGTCTTTGTTAGCGTGGCCGTAGTGCCGCTGGTCTTTGTTAGCGTGGCCGTAGTGCCGCTGGTCTTTGTTAGCGTGGCCGTAGTGCCGCTGGTCTTTGTTAGCGTGGCCGTAGTGCCGCTGGTCTTTGTTAGCGTGGCCGTAGTGCCGCTGGTCTTTGTTACCGTGGCCGTAGTGCCGCTGGTCCTCGTTACTGTGGCTGTAGTGCCGCCGGGCCTCGTGACCGTGGACATATGTCAATTTATATATGCCATGTTTTTCTGTTTGAAACAATATCTTAATATAAACTCTACGCAGTTTTGAATGTTTCTCTTTCTGCAACACACCCAGAATGCTTTGCAGAGTATGTAAATAAACATCACATTTGTGCTCATTTGCATATCTTGCATGGTATTATTGGTGTGTAGTGCAAATTAAAATAGAGTTATTGTGACCGGGTGTAAAGCGTATAAAATGCAGGTATTCTAATAAATACCTGAAATATATTACATTGTATTTCAGAATGTGCTAGAAGTCTGTATGGAGATTTATCTTTGCTAGTCACAACACCTTTAGATAGATACTGCATTGAACACTTTAATCTATAAACTAAGCTACTACCATACCATATCGAGGAGCCCTATCAGTGAGTTACTGCATTCTATGACCGGATAATCCGCTTCATTTATATCTTAACCAATGCTTATGGCCAAAAAAATATTCTTTGAAAATAACCGATCCCTGCTACGTGAATCTTTAGAACGGTTTAGCTTTGTTTTGCTTTAGGTGTAAATACGGCACATCATATATTTTTCAGTTCAATACAGAGTATAACATACACTGGCGTATATATTCTAATAATATAGAATAATAATACACAGAAGGGTTAAAGCATATCTCTGGTAAGGAGCGTTTCCTCCAGCCCCTATGGAAATATTCTGTCTAATGTTACTGTAGGGAGAGAGAGAGAAATCAAATTTCATCACTGAAAGATGATTGACAGGTAAGGGAGAGGCAGGAGAGACCTCTGGTCAGGGGGGAGAGTTTAGGGAAGGGATGGACAACTGCAGGAAACTGCTGTTTTTTAGCAAATCATAACCTTTTCACAAACCAGTATATTTTATGGGATCTAGAGACTTTGGGGAATTTCTTCATAGAGGTTGTTTTTATTAAGGCAAGAACATGAGGCCTTGTGTATCTTGTGATCTGGGAGGTATTTTACTGTTCATTTGTGTGCATTTGATTAATATGAACTAAAAGCTACATGCTCTCATCACTGTATAAAAAGTACACTACATTTTGTCACGTTCTCTATAAACGTAGCCTGTTTGTTTTTGTTTTTTGTGTCAGGGGCTCAAAATATGACGCCAAACTGTTAATCTTTATCTCTGATTCCGTTTCGTGGACCGTGACATAACATGTAGCAACGTAAAGTCCACAAAATGTCTTCATTAAACTCTTCATTTTAGCAAAGAGTTAGCATTGCACAAATAGAACCAACAGTAACAAAGTTCTTCTTGGCAACTGCCTAACATTTCATACACATGATTTGCCTATCCGAACCTTAGGAGGGCACTGAAATGAGGACATCGTTTTGGTAGTGTTCCATTTTATCGATCTCCATCTATTTGGCGAAACATATAAGTAGAGCTTCTATAGATAGACAGAGGTATACAGATGTTGATATAACCATGATAAGAGAATGGAGATAAAATGGTTTGTAAAAGTGAATTAGTGTAAATAAACACAAAAACTTAGTGACAAATTAGAAAAAATATTTTAAAATTGCCAGGAGCTCAAAAGTGTATGCATTCCTTTCTTTTAAACACTTCAAATAAATATAAAATAAATGTGAATGGGTGGTGTGCTATTACATTATGTATAAACCTTGCTAAACAGGAAGCAGTCACTATGTGTAGACCAACAGAATGGGGTAATTTTGTAACAAAATGTTCTGTTATAAAAAGTGGTTCAAACATGTAAAAGGGGAGGGGGAGGGGGTGGGGGTGTCGCCAATGGAAGATGCCTATTGACTATGATGATTTCCATGGTGATTGCTTTTAGTGCTTTTTAATAGATTTCTCCCTCAGCATTTAGCGTTACCCAGAATTACACCTTCTTTTGCTTTGATGCATCTCCATAAAGTGTATTATCCATAATTTGAACAGGTACATGAACATATACAGGTACCGCTCACGTTGATTAGCGCCTGGATAATTCGGCTCAAATGTTCACATTGGTTTCATAAAATGGAATCGACTTTTAAGACGTATACTGTGTGTCCTGCACAGGACTACCATGCCATCCTTTACACGGAATTATGATGGCTGCCGTGGTTGCATACAGTCCTGGGACAGCCACTTTTTTTTTTTCTTTCAATAAAAGGGACTCTAAATAGGTTATCTTTTCTGATTTCATACAACAATGAAGCCCCTCGCACAGGTTACACTGTACAATCAAGGATGATTGTCATGGTCACAAACGATACGGCGCTTGTGTCTTTATCACACTTCTTCCATGGAACTGCTAGATGGCTGTCAGGGCAAACAACGTGTATCTGGGAAAATACCTGCCATTTCTACACCGCTTAGGGTTCATAAAATCCAAAGTTTGCAATACATTCACAGGAACCATCAATTTGGAGATGCACACACAGTTATACAGCTGAAAGTGTTTTTTTATTTTTTATTTTAATAATGCTTTTTTCTTTCTTTCTTTTACTTTCAGATTAAGCGATGAGGCATAGGTTCTTCTCTTTTTTTTATTTCCAATGTTTCTTTTCACACAAACAACAAAGATCATACATTAACAGCCATGAAATAATTATCAACTAAATATGTTGTTAATCTGACGAGTGTTCTTCATTCCCAATCTGAGATATAAATCATGTAGTGCATCATTTCCTGAGCACTAGAGGAAAATGAAACCATATTATCTAAATTGAGGAAGGAACAACTCAAATCTGTGCTTCAATCATTCATGATAACTGTCTGTGCCAAAATGTCATTTTCAGGAGTATCCCTCTCAAACGGTTGATGACATTTTGTTTAATAAGGTTGCTGATCGCCTTGGCTTCAGTTACGCTATCACATGATGTGCTCCTAAAGGGTTACTCCAAACGCCATAACCACTTCATTGCTGTTAAGGTCTCTTGTATACGGACAGCCACATAGACCACAGTAATCATTAAAAGATTAATGTGAACCTTATTGCTTCACATAACCTTTGAATATACCCTTAGTAAAGCAGCCTGATAAGTGATAATCTTTAATAGTGTAGTTTTTGCCATGAGCGCGTTTTGCAGTACATGTAAATCTGATCTATTCCTCGCTATTCCTGATTGATATATCTGTATTTATGTAGTGGATGTGTTAAATGCGGCATTGTCCTGTGTAACAAGTCACTTATCAAATATAAATGTGTTTCCCCCATTTCTTTATTATAATTGGATGTATATATACACGAAGGCGCGCAAGATGTATGTAGAATGTCCGCAACAGAGATTTCCACTTCCACCTGCCTTTTGTCCATGATAGAATATCTCATCTTCTGCAATCATATCTTACATGCTTCCTGTATTATTGTATTTATAATGGAAGCTAATTTTTTCACTTTTTCTTGTGTGCGTGTATGTATTGTACAGCGATACGGAATCCGAAGGCGCTATATGAATATATATATAATATTTTTTTTATTGATGATTTTTGAACACAATATTGCATCAGAAAATCTAACAAGGAACATAACTTGACAATATCCCCAATTGCTACTTTTTCTGTTTTAACTTCCATTTTTTCATAAATACTTGTTCTAAATTAGATAACCTATAGCCAGAACATAAAACTGGTAACAATGTTCAGTGTGGCAAAAATAAATAAAAGAGCTAGTGAACTTAAAGGAACACTCCACGCACCATAACCACTACAGTGTGCTGCAGTAGTGATGGTACCAGGAGTGTCGTGGTGCCCCCGCATTGTAAATGATCAGACCCTTTTAGAATTGTTTGGACTCTTACCTGAGGTCTGCTACTGCAGCTTCCTGCTTCCACTACCTCTCAGTGCAAGCCAGAAGCTGTCTTTACTGAACCAATCTCTGCAGCGCAGGACTTCCCTCATTGACTGAGAGTGATCAGCTGATGCTATTAGGCAATGTTCTATCCCTGCAATGCTGAACTTCGCTCCGTTGAGCAAATGTAAATTCCTGAGCCAGAGCCTTCAGCTCTCACTAAATTGTAGTGCAGGCAGTGAGTGGCACCTGGCAGGCAGGGCCAGACTGGCCCTGCTTACAGGGATACAGGGAAATTTTCCAATGGGTTGTGGTACCTGGGGCCAGGCAGCGAGCCCAAATCATCAGGCTCCTGTAGTTTAAGTTTTTCCCCTTGGACTACGTCAGTCCGAGGGGAGTAGAGAGGGAGGGCCGGAGGGAGACCTGTCAATCTCCCTACACAATTTACATAAATTTTTGCCGCATGCCCCATTCTCTCATGCAAGCCCCACCTCCTGGATGGAAGCTCGGCCAACCGAGTGCAAGCTCCGCCCCCGTGCACATTGCTGACTTTGCTGGAAGGAAGAGGCCACAAAATGGTGACTTCACCTACCAGGGTAAGCTTCAGCCATGACAGTGATTGTGTGTGTGCCTGCTAGTGAGAGAGCTTGTGTGTGTATGTGTCTGCTAATGAGAGCAGTTGTGTGTGTGTGTGTGTGTGTGTCTGTGTGTGTTCCTGCTAGTGAGTGAGCTTGTGGGTGTGTGTGCCTGCTAGTGAGTGAGAGCAGTTGTGTGTGTGCCTGCTAGTGAGTGAGAGCAGTTGTGTGTGTGCCTGCTAGTGAGTGAGCTTGTGGGTGTGTGTGCCTGCTAGTGAGTGAGAGCAGTTGTGTGTGTGCCTGCTAGTGAGTGAGAGCAGTTTTGTGTGTGCCTGCTAGTGAGTGAGAGCAGTTGTGTGTGTGTGTGTGCCTTCTAGTGAGTAAGAGCAGTTGTGTGTGTGTGTGCCTGCTAGTGAGTGAGAGCAGTTGTGTGTGTGTGCCTGCTAGTGAGTGAGAGCAGTTGTGTGTGTGTGTGCCTGCTAGTGAGTGAGAGCAGTTGTGTGTATGTGTGTGCCTGCTAGTGAGTGAGAGCAGTTTTGTGTGTGTGTGTGCGCCTGCTAGTGAGTGAGAGCAGTTGTGTGTGTGTGTGTGTGAGCCAGTGAGCTTTTCTGGCTGGCAAGACAAGACATAGCCTTACATATTACATTTTACAGTGTATGGCACAATGACTTATGGGACTGGCATAGATTTTTTTTTTTTCCCAGGGCTGCTTTGTATCCTAGTCTGGCCCTGCTGGCAGGCCCCATGTAAGAAGTCAAACGGTATGAATCCTTACACCAGGGCACTCCTGGCACCATAGGCATGTGAGTGTGCTGTAGTGGTTATAGTGCTTGGAGTTCTCAGATTTTAAAATACAGTTATAAAACAGAGGAACACGGCGTTCCATAATGCACACTAGGGGCTCACCTAAAATTCCAGTTTTTAAAAGATTCAAGAGAAATACATAAATGTGACTTAATGGGGATACTTTTATCATATTTCATTATTACACAATATAAAATTACAAGCTTTATGGCCTAGTTCTACATTATATTATAATAAACAAATATATTGACTCCTTTGGTGTTTTTTGGCTTGCTCTATGGTGGCAGCCATCTTTAGCCCTGTTGGGTCAGAAGCACCACTTATCTGCTAAGACCATGCACAATGTAAAGGTAGGAAACCGACTCCCAGTGCTTTTCTTTGAGATGCTCAGCACTTTTACACGTCAGGATTTCTGTGAATGAACAATTGCTTGTATTATTATTATTATATATATATATATATATATATAGATATTATTTTTTTTTTGCAATAAGCCAGTTTAAGACCTAAGATGCACTAAAAAAAGTTACTTGCATGTAAATATTAAAGAATAATTTGCAAAAAGGATAAAATACAAGACTGGGGAGACTTATCAAAGCAAAACCGTTACTATTTTGAGATACAAAGCGTAAATGTTCAATTGGTTTCCGTGTGGCCCCAAAATAGTACCAGTTTATCACTTAATAAATCTCCCTTGCAATCTTTAATTTTCAATGATAAAAAAATGACCGCTTTAGTTTAATGCTCCCTCTGTCCACCCTTGCCAGACCTTTGTAGGTCGTCTTCTGAAAAATAAAGCTTTGCATTGAAGGTGTCTGACGATGACTGTAGTTTATATACAGCGTATTTTAAGAAATAAATATAGCGACTGCGTAGCATAAATTATTGGTTTCAATCCAACAAGAAAGAATCCATGTTAACAATATGTTGGCAACATCTAAATTGAATTCTACCAAATGTCAGATGATGCCAACCGCTGAACCCCTCAAAGCTTTAAATATTGTCCTTACAAAATAAAAAATTCTGGGGGGGAAAAACATTCTGGTAATGTCTTGTAAATAAGGACAGATGTGAAATGCTGTTTTTATTTACCACTTTACAAAATAATAATGAAATTAAGCTGACTGGATTTTTGGAAAGAAATCAAGTTGTTTTTTTTTTGTGTGTGTGTGTGTTTTTTTTAACATTTTGTTAGAACACCATAAGGGAAATTGAATGTTTCTAATGCATAGCTATTTAAGGACAGTTTTTAATAAAGCAAATTGGTCAGGATTTAATGATGACCGAGTCTGTCAAAAATGGTAATGTGCTATTTTTTATAATACACTATGACATTACTCGTTGCCTTTATTAGAAATCCTTTAATCCAAAAATCTCAATAAGGTGATTGATCCCCCCCAAAAAAGGTGTCACTTGATTAGGACCCAAACCTCCTGTTTCCCTCTTCATCTCAATGCTTTTCTTTTAAATGAGATCAGAATATGTGTTGTATGTGGGCATATCACAGGGCTCCACAGCATTAAAACTCATTATTGCTATTAGGTGTCTCCTACAACTCACAGGAACGTGCAGTACGTATGAAACTCACAGCGATGTGCAGTGTTTATTAGGACGCTGAAGCTCTATGCAATAAAACTGTAAAATGTGTTGTGTATTACAAAACTATGAAAGCTATATTTGGCGTGTACGACAACTTGCAGTAACGTGCATGCAGATTTTGTTAGCATATCACAGAGCTCCACAGCATAAAAATTACAGTTTGTATCGGCAAATAGCAAAGAGCTACATCATTAAAACCAACCAAATATGTATAAACCACAGTTAGTGTGCATGTATGTATATGTGTATATATATGTGTGTGTACATATATATTATTAAATATTCCTTATCTGCCAGTTTGAACACATGACAGAAGGTGTCTTTCTTTACTGAACTTCTAATGGAAGCACAAGAGAACTAAAACATATTAATATACCTTATTCCTTATCAGCCAATTATACCCCCAAGCACCCTGCTTAATACAAACGTGCCCCTGCCCATTGTAAATGACTCTAAGTATGCTGTAGTGAGGCTAAATAGGATTGCTTTTAATAATTGCTACTGTTAAAGGAATCGATAGAGACGGGACAACTGTGTCTGTGGCAGGGATCTGAAATAAATATTCTCTGGAATAAAACTGCGTGATAGTATTAAGTCTACGGCGTGACCTCGTGTTGCAAGCCCTGGGATGTTTCTTTGTAGATATTAACACGTAATTAGCAATCCAAGCGAGCATCCTACATCTTAATCACTGCCTCGGTGTGGGTGACGATCACTGAGAAAGCAGAGAGGGCCAGGGAATGGTAATTTGTCCCCGACGCGCGCTATCCGATAACCAATCTTATTTACATACAGCAAAGTGTGATTTTCTTTCGGTTCTTTGGTTTTCAGTAGCAAATGTGGTGTCTGCATTTATTGGGAAGCACCAGCCCAGAAAATGATATACGGCTATACATAATTATATCAAACTCCAGAAAACAACCCGTGTCGATTTTGCAATGTTTTCATTATTTTCTTTAAAATATATGTATTAGGTTTTTTTGTTTTTTTTCTGATTTTGTGTAATTATTACATTTTTGCTTTTACTGATTTGGAGTTTCATTTCATTTTATGGATGGCTCCATCATCAGAATGCCCAAACACTTAAGTAAAAGTAAAAATATTTTTGTACGTTGGATAATTGTTGGACTGATCGTGAATGTTAGCCATTAAATAAAATATCTTTTAGGCAAACTGTAAAATACATTATACAGAAATGGCAAAGAAAACAACATTAAGTTCTTTTTGTAATATAAATCAGAGTTTTTTTTTGTTTTTTTTAATATATCTAAATATCTATACATATAATATTGCACTTTTATAAATTATATGTGATATATGTATCTGATTTCCTGAAAATATGTAAACAACGAAGAGCGTATCTAGTTCCTAAGAGGGGCAGTGCTTAATTGGGGCCCAAACCTTTCAGTCTCTCTTTACGAATGTACAACTGAACTTAACAGCAAAATAATTCACATTGATGTGCCTTAAATTACAATAAACTTGTTTCGAAATTAGTCTCAATGAATACGATACTTTTGGATTTGCTCTAAATATTTTCAGCTCTGTAATTGTAGGTCATGAAATTATAATCTAAAATATCCCGAGTAGCTTCCCCCCACATCACACCTCCAGGTACACCCACTGAAATTGCCCTCTCTTACCATTTGTAGTTTTGGGGGAAATGGAATTTAATGTCTGATTTCTATATCATACCTTGCCTGTACATCCTACGTAGACATGAGTCTGGTTGCTCTCGAGGGTTTCTGCTTAATTGATGGATGGTGGTTAATTGTGGGGAGCTAGCTGGATTTTGGGTTTACTGGCATTTATCCATGTTAACTGGCTTCCTGGTCCTCTGTCTAAAATGGGGTATCACCACCAATCATACATGTAGACCTGATTCTTCACTACTGGTCTAACCCATTATCAAGGTTACAGTCTCAACCCTGTTTTAATGTACCTTTTAATCCCATTTCTTCCTGTCCTTAAGAGGAGGGTACATTTCTGGACTGGGAATACTGTAACATTCCCTGGCAAAGGAGTGTGTGTGTATATATAATATAAAGAAAATCTTGTCTTTTGGTTGGTGAAGAGGTCTTCATGACCTTGCTTTGAGAACTTGTTCACTGGACTTGTAAAGTAAAGGTCACTGACTATTCTAATAGTAATACAGCTTAAGTCTGTAAGAGTTAGTACTAGTTGCACCACCTGTTCTGGGTATTTTGTGGTGCAATTTTTGGCAATCTGCATTGTTAATTAGGCTGGACTTCAAACTTTTGGCAGATTTACGACCTTGAAAAAACATTGTCTGCTGCAAATATATTCTTCTTACTACAAATATTCTCAGTGGAACAGCATGATCACTCTGGTGACCTGTTGTTAGCTTCTCTGTATAATGACACGTTTATTCCAGGAGACTTGATTTACAAACAAATATGTATATACAAGTATAGTACAAATAAAAAAAATAATCTAAACTAACAAACAAAATTTGACTTGGTTGACCTTGAAAGGTCTTAATAACTCAGGAGCTAGAAGACTCTAAACAGTGATAATTGTTCACTGTGAAAGAAATGCTAAGATTATTTTTTTTTTTTTATAGCAAGCAAGATGTTTTATAACAAGCAGCTATAGCCGTGTATTTTGTAGTGAAGTGGTTAATTTTAACAGTATCCCTTTTTTGCTTTCCTCTAATGACTAAAATTACATATCTTTAATGGTCTGGCCAATCCTGAATCTTTGAGCAAAATCCCTCTCTGATTGTTCTAGCAAGACAATTTTTTTTTCCACTTTTATTTTTCCCATTTAATTGTCCCCCTACTAACAATGTAGCTCATTCAAAGAAATCTTTATGCAACGTGCTTGCTGGTTGGCATTTTTACTGGCTCACTAACCCAGAGGTAAAATATAAAATGGCATGGCTTTTTGCTTGCTAGCCTGTTGTCACTTGAAGGGTCCCTCCCTTGTTAACTTGATAAATAATTTTACTAGCGGGAATGTGCCGAGTTTTATGCATGCTGTCTATTTCTCACCCGCGGCAAATAAATTTCACCACTCCGAGAGCACTAAAATCTCAAACACGTGGTGTTTTCCCACTTTGCAGCCAAAGGTATAAAATATTTATTTTGTCTTCCCTTTCTAATTTAATAAAAGACCGCAAATGTTTCAAAATTAGCTTTGAATGAAAAGTTTTATGATGCTTATTTTTATTCCTAAGATAATTTTAAGGCTGCTGCATGTTTATTGCCATTTCGGAGGTTGAAGCGCATGGGGATCGCAAGTCAATGCTTGCATTTCATGTAATTTGTTTTGTATTGTATCTTTTTTAACCAACTGAAAAGTGTTATCATTCTTTAAATCGTTACCTGTTTTATCTTAACAATTTAGTGCCCCATTTAGATTCCTTCAAGTGTAAGGGCTTACGGTTCATTTGGAATTTTGGAAGAGCAAATGCATCTGGGACGTTTAGAACTTCAATAGAGCAAAGGCTTATGGGACATTTGAATTTTTGAAAGTGCATATAATTATAGTACTTTTGGAATCTTTGGGAGAGCAAAGTCTTATGGGACATTTGGAATTATGGGAGCACAGAGGTTTATAGAATGTTGGAAACCTATGGATTCATCTTCCTGACCTTTGGAAGAGAAAAAAACTTGAGGATGTATTTTTTTTTAGTTTTTATATTTTTATGCAGTTAAAAACAAAGTGGCCTGGTGGTTGCATTATAGGCCAGATATGGTGGTACATTCTTAGGTTGTGGCCCGTGGCCCAAAGTTTTTTTTTTTTCCTGTGTCATGTGTTCCGTAAATTAACATAAGATAGCCAAACTGAGCTCATGTTGGCGGTTATAGACTATTGCAAAGATAGGAAACATTTGGAACTCCAGATATTGGAGACTACTACTCCCATAATGCTGGCAAAGCATCAGGAGAAACATTGTCCACAACATCTGAAATGCCGAATGTTGACCACCGGTGGGCTATTTAATGTGTATAAAATAACTATGACTAAACTGCTGTTTAGGTATAGTTTAAAGGACCAACAAAGACTATACGTGCATGTTATATGAAAGCAGCCTCGCACTGTACGTTTACTGTGGTGTACATAGGAGGTTGATAACCGGAGTATCCTGGCCCCTGTCTTTGCCATGACTGCTTTGACTTTAAAGATACATGTTTGCCACCAACTAGGATGATAGATCATGCTTGTGCTCTCACTAACTGCCAAGTCACAATGCCCATATTCATTGCTGGTTACAGTGTAGAGATGAGCTAAACTATATTATTATGATTATTATAAACACTTCCTGTCACAATGAAAAGTACCAAACCTATTTGTTATGGTCAATGAATCTATAATTATATCAATACACGTAAGCGAATGTTTTGTTGCTGAGCATTTGTATGCTTTTGGTCGTGTTAAGGGATTGAAAAGATTTTTTTATGTTTGTATCTGAAATGCTGTAGTTGGATGTTTGCAGTTTGTCATTAGAAAGATTTTGCCAGAGACCCTGGAATACCGATCTAAAGATGATCTGTCACGTTTTTCAGTATAGGATTTTGTCTGTATGTTGTATTTTCTTGGTTTGTTTGTTTGTGTGTTTCGTATGTCCCAAGTTATCGTGTAAACATAAGGACACATTTTACCTTATGGCTCTTCTTTCTGAAGGATATCGAAGACTCATTCCCAATTCTAAGTCACTTCTAGGAAAATACGCTTCCTCTATTCTTACACCTCACTGACTGTTAGCTTACCTTACAGTCCCCTCTGCCATCAACCAACTTACTAAGCAGGGACTGCTAACGAATGTTCCCAAAGTGTAATCTGGAGTGAAATTCCTCTATTTTAAATTGTCCCTCCAATTACCCAATTACTTTAAAAGGGGACCCCCTTTCAAAACACTAATAGCATAACACAACTAGATTCTGATACATTTTTATACTCCTCATGAGCAATAAATGCTTTCCAGGCATCTTTAGACCCTGAAGTCCAATAAACCTTTTTAGAATAATTATCCACTTGATCTGGCTTAGCATGAATGGGACAAATAAAGCTTAGATTCTTACCTTCTTTTATTCTTTACCAAACACTGTGATTTTAAGCAAGGTCAAAAAGACAGAATTTGTTGTAGCCATATGAAAGTAATATCATCTGATTGGCTGTACTAGTAAATTAGGCCAATGTTTAATATATTTTAGTACAAGCCTTATGGTGGTTTCTTTTCATATGTATAATTGTGTGTTTTACATGAATTTTATAGCTACAATGTGTATTTCTTTCCTGGCATCGTTCCCATGCAGATAGGTAAATGTTTCCATATGTGTACCGAACATTAAGTAGTTGGCGTTTTTTCCTTTGTAGCCTTCACTTCCTGTTTCTTCTCCTGGACAAGTAGGGATCAGGAAAATCCCCCATTTTGCTGTATGAATGCTATGTCCAGTTCCCACGTTTGATATTCTTTTAATGAAGGGATGGTTTTACATATTTTTTGGTTCGTAGAGAAAAGTGTTTTCCATTAACAGGTCTAGGAAAAATGTTTAGTCCATTCGTCCTAGTTGTCTCCTTCCTCCTCTCCTTAAATAGGTTATCGATCTAGAAAGGAGTCATATTTGAAGGGAGAGTGGGTGGCAAGTACACATAAAAGATTAGCACTTCCAGATGGATTAAGACCTAGGAGAGAAGGTCAACTAAGTAGGAGGGCATGGTCGCCCCCTGGCAGACCTGACAAATTTGGAGTGTCCGAAACCTGAGTGTAGAGGAATGGGCAAGGTTAGTGGGCAGCACTAATCAAACTTAAGGATCTCGAAGAGATTACTTTCATATTCCTTCTGGCAGACCTGACAAATTTGGAGTTTCCGAAACCTGAGTGTAGGGGAATGGGCAAGGTTAGTGGGCAGCACTAATCAAACTTAAGGATCTCGAAGAGATTACTTTCATATTCCTTCTATATGTGTGTGTCTAGTCATATTGGGGCCACTTTCCGCAAGACAGTCATGATTTCAGGGTCCTGTCCCGCCATCCTGGTTTAATAGCCTGGTGTCCTGCAACTCTCCTTGGGCAGCATAGCTTGAGCGCATAATTAGACATGCTTGTGCTGTGCAGCGGGCACTTGGAGCATGGAGAGAGAGCTTCAGCAGCACTCTCTGAATGATCCTGCAAGTAGGGGGCGGCCTGGAGGCTTTCGGTCACCCTTCACTGGGTGTACACACCTACTTCCCTGGAAGGTGCACCCATTATGGGTTCGCTCTGGCAAGGCCCACAGGAATGCCCAACCACCTGTCTTGATTGCATACCTTCCAATGTTGGATGGTATAGGGTCATCAAAGCGCTGCCGTTCTCTGGTACAGCATCTTGGAGCAAGCATGTCCGTTTCTCCTTGGCCAATCACACTGGTTATATGTTTAGTGTTTAATTTAATGCAGGCAAGAGATATTCAGATGTACTTACAATATAAAACTTCTGCTTTTATGGAGCACTTCAAAAAATTTATGTTTAAGAAGTTGTTTTGTATTTTATATATTCACTTTATCTATTTTATATTCTCTATTTCTAAGTTAATTAAAATTTTTAGGGAACAAGAAGTCAAAATGTATATCTTGCATTTTAAAGAATCCTGTATAACCTCTAAAATTAACTACCGGGTAAATTACCCAAGCTGGCCTCTGCATTTGTTCTTTGGATTTTTCTCTTCTCGTCCTACTATGACGGATTTCAACCTGTGCGTTTTAATATCCACCTTGCTTTGCACTAGAGGATTCTGCATCTCAAGTTGCCTATCTGCACATATGGCTGGCTACACAAACCTTGACATAGTGCTCTTGGAACGAGATACTATTTTTGAGCGCTAATTTGCCGAGTGAGTTATAGTGCTATGTACGTCAGGGACGGATAGGATAAGGAGCGAGAGGCTAAGAGAGCTGCAGTGAAAGATATAGCCTCTTACTGTGTTTACAAGCTATGCTGCACTGATTTCAGCTGACCCAAAAGGTATCTCCTTCCCCAGGGAGAGAAATGGTTGAGTCCCGGTATCTACACAATATCCCTCTACATCTGTTGTGACCTTGCTACTGACACTGAGTTAACCTCTGCAGTGTTAGAGGGACATTTAAAGGGGACTAACTAAACATCTCCCCCTTACAGGAAAATAACGAGAAGAAAAAAAAAATAGATTTTTTTTTTTCTGCTTTTTTAAATTTTATTTTATCTTTAATAGATTTTTTTAATAAATAGTTTTGGTTGATTTAACACTTTTCCTGCTCTTAGAGACGATGTTTCCCAAAGATCTCCTTTAATGTACTTTTTTATCAAAAGTCATGTTGCCATAACGTTTTATTTTTATAGTTTTTTTTTTTTTCTTTCATGTAACCCCTTGTTGGCTATCCAATGTACAATATAAAGCAACATTTATTGCATTAAAAAAAATTCAATTTTTTTTTTTTAAATATAAGAAAAATAGACTGCTATCACTAATAGAATAATTACTGTTACTGATTATTAATTACAATGTGTTCGTCAGAGCTACCTCACAAGTTATTCCATATATGCAATTCATATGTCCCCATTTCTCTTCACCCCGCAACCTCATAACTCAAATCCCCATCATTACCTTTAGATTGTAAGCGGTAATGTGAATTTTAAACAAACGGACAGTGCTCTGTTCCTTTGTATCATATTGTCTATATTCCCTGAATATGTCATGTATATGTGCTATATAAGTACTAAATAATAATAACTGCATTACTCATGTTACTAAGAACTTAGCATACTCCTACTAAGTTTGTTTTAAACATGCTTAATCTAAAAGCATTCTAAATGTTTGTGTGTGTGTAATATAGTGTTATGTATGTGTACATATATAATATTGTAGCAATGTTTGTTTTTTATTCTACTTGCAGAATCTGAAGGCATAAAAATAGAATTTGAATACACCTACACCTGTGTACATTATAGAGAAATGGTCTTTGAGTTACGCTTTGGTTTCTCAAACTGATTAGCAGCAATAAGCGACTTTGACCTAATTCAGCTAACGTACAAACTCTGCAAGCTGAGTTTAAAAAATAAATGTGCTGAAACTCTGCTCCAGCCACGGAAATAAATGTTGAAAAATGTTAATATCGGTTCTATAAATACCAGTGTTTACACAGTGTATATGGGCTCCGTGAGCTTGTCGAAAATTATATTTCACCATTGCACTGGAGAAATTGAGCAAGCTCATGCATTTAAAGCACATTTATAACCCCCCAAAAAATAAAAACTCTCTTGGGATTCTGTGTCTCTGTTAACCTCTAACTTATGTCTAAAAATTAGATATTTATATAAAAAAAGCTTTATAATAACCCCATTGTATCAGCACATGAACGAATTATCATGCATAATGTGGTTGTAATAGCAGACGTACCACAATGTCTGCATATGTGTGTATCTATATCTATATATAGATAGGTACATAGCTAAATAGATATAGATCTTGTACATTTTTCAGTCTGCATCCACCTGTCTCTTTTGAGCATGACTTTTTTTTATTGTTAAATTTAATGCTCTTGTGGTTAGCTTAGCTTCGCAATGAGATGGTGAATAGGGTGGTGATTTCTGGTTTGATAGAGAGGCATAGCAGAGACTTCTGTAGAATTTTTAACCAAGCTTTGCTTGCCTGTACTTTGCCATTGCTCCCATTGCTGAAGCCCTATGTTGGGTTATGACAAAACCAGGGTCTAATTGTCTCACCCTGTCATTATCCCCGAGTCCTCTTTGATAATGAAATACAAGTTACAATTTCATAATTTGTGACAGTGACACTTTAATGCACTGTATTTGGAGTTAAAAAATTGAAATGAGCAGAGTGCTTCAATATAATCTCAATATGTCAATTATTATATAATGATCAATAAGTGCTTTAAAATAGCACTCCAATCAGACATTGGTGTAATATGGTATAATGTAAAGTGATTCACCTTCTACTTTAAATTTATGCAAACACAAAATATGTATAATTTATTTTATAAAATGTTAATACAATTTGCAAAAAACGTTCACTTAGTATTTAAAATAAAATGCAAATATCACTGAATGCAGGGCTCGACAAATCCCAGGTACCTGGGATTTGTTGAGGTGGTTGGCTGCCTATAAGTGGGAGAGCATGTGCTGTTGGTCGGCTAAAGGGAGAGCATGTGCTGTTGGTCGGCTGGCAAGCTAAAGGGAAGGCATGTGCGGCCGGTCGGTTAGCCAGCTAAAGGGAAGGCATGTGCGCGACGGTTGTCGGCTGTCTAGCTAAAGGGAAGGCATGTGCGGCCGGTCGGCTGGCTAGCTAAAGGGAAGGCATGTGCGGCCGGTCGGCTGGCTAGCTAAAGGGAAGACATATGCGGTTGGTCGACTAGTCAGCTAAAGGGAGGCATGTGCAGCCAGCCAGCCAGCTGGGGTGTGTGTACAGACAGGAACCTCCTGGAGGATTGAGACAGATGGGTGAGGTAGCTGTAACCTCCCTCGCGCGTCCTTCAGTGATGCCGGAAGCCGGAACATGACAGCATTCCGGCCCCTGCATCACTAAACAGCGCCGAACCAGTCCAGCTCCAGGTAGGGATGCTGGGTGGTGGTGTTATTGCAGTGACACTGAATGTGTGTCATATACTAAGTGAGTGTCAGTGAGCGATTGTGTGTGTGTGTAGGTGAGTAAGTGTGTGTTTAGATGACGGTCCCCCTCCAATCACATGAGTAAGGTTTTTTTTTTTTTAGGTTTTTACTTCCCTTTTTCCCCCCCACGCTGTGCTGGCCTCGCCACAGCTGGCACTGCCTCCATGACTGCGATCATCAATCTTGATGATCTCAACCAATTCAATGCTTTCCCATAGGAAAGCATTGGGGGACTATTGCATATGTGTGGCAAAACACCATGCTACGCCAATCAGCATCTCCTCATAGAGATGAATTGAAAAAAATACATCTCTATGGGGAACATTCAGCGCCTACATGCCAAGCATTGAGACGCTAAATGTAGGTGCTGCGTACTGTGCAGCACTGACCCAGGATGCACTCTAGAGACCATCTGAGTGACTTTCACGAGAAGTGTTACTTGACAACAGTGTAAATACTGCCTTTTCTGTGAAAAGGCAGGGTTTACATTGAAAAGTGTGCAGGGACAGGTTATAGACAGGAGAACAACTACATTAAGCTGTAGTGGTTCTGGCTCCTAACTTTTTTTACTGTCTCCTAGATTCCAAGCAAATTTGTCAAGCCCTGACTTAATGTGTGTGCAAACGTTCCCCGATAAAGTGCCAAGTACTTCCAATGGATTAGTAATCTGCTTTCATCAACTTTTTGAATGCTCACACACTTTCTAGAGCCTATAAAATGGCTCTATTCTTAAGGGGACACTGTTCGCACTAAAATAACTTTTAGCTTTATGGAGTGGTTTTGGTGTATAAATCATGCCCCTGCAGTCTCACTGCTCAATTCTGTCATTTAGCAGATAAATCACATTTATTTATTTTTTGGATCCCTTGTCACACACTTCCCCTACGTGTGACCTACATAGTCTCCTTACACATTTCCTGTAAAGAGAGATCTCATGTTTAAACTTACTTTATTCACAGTCTGATTTAGAATTTCTGATCTCCTGCTCTGTTAATAGCCTGCTAGAGTTTGCAAACTTGTAGACTGACATAGATCTCTAACAGAGCTCCCTTGTAGACTGGTGTGGATCTTTTTTAGAGCCTCCTCCTCCTCGTGTAGTTTGACATGGATCTCTATTAGATCTTCCCTGTGGTCTGGCATGAATCTATTTTAGTGCTCCCAGATCACTCTGTGCATAATTAAGCAAGCTAGACAATCTCTGTCCGGAATCTCTGTCTGTGCTCCATTCTGACCGATATCTAGAAGAATTGCAGAACATTCCTGATGAAATGCAGTGCTGTCAAGCCCTCCAGTTGCATGTAACGATTTACATGAATTCTAGTCCCAACAATGGAGAGTAACCGTGTGGCACCCCTCTTTATAACCCCACAGTACAATATTCTGCTTTCCAATAAATAAATAAGTAAGAGCAAGAAGTAATACATTAGGTTTTTTCTTTTTCATTGAAAGCCCATTTGGTTGAACAATGAATTTGTCTCTTCCAGGACCCTGCCCGTCTGTGCAGCTTCCTTAAACAATGATTCTGCTTTCAAGAGGACAAAGATATATGTCGAGCATGAAGATAGATCTGTTCTAGTGCAAAAAGGAAATGCATTATTGATTGCTGTAGGTGCACCTGAGCCAAGCGGTACGCAGACCTGGCTCTGCAGACATTGCAGGCACTAAAACTACTACAAGGAGAGAAGCTCCAGTGTCTTTTAAATGGGCCTTTTTCCACTTTAAAATCATGCATAGAGAGGAGAGAGATATATTGCTCTCGGCAATAAATTGGACATGTTCTGCAAATATTCTGCTTTTGTTTGGTGTAGGTCTAGTTGGAGCCTTCAATGCTGTGTTGGTGGCAGTGCACCTGCTGTAGTGATAGTGACGTAGGTTGGCCTAAACGCAACTGTTCTCGCCAGAAGTAGTCTGGGGCAAATGAGACTCAAGCTGAGGAGGCAAAATAAAAATTCTAGGCCTAAGAGAGCGCCAGATGTATGTGTTTATTAACAAGACAGTTGGACCTTTTTATTGACACATTTACATTATTGAATGAACCACTTCATTTTTATATATTCATATTAAGCACATGCTGTTTGCATTGGATGATACTCTATGCTATTGTCCAATAATATAGACTTACTTTATTAGAATTTATTTTTTTCTAGGTCATTGTGATTTAAGCTGCTGGTCAAGATGGTACAAGTTGATTTGGTTGACCAAACTCGCTGTATTAGAGCACCTGTGTGTTGAAATTTAAACTTCCGTATATCACTTATAAACTTTTATCTCTGTGTTTTTGTTGTTGTGTTTTTTGTTTTTTTTAATAAAAATTTGTAGCAGAATTGAATTGCAACCAATTTTTAATTTTGTTTTCAAATGCATACACATGTGGAACTTTGTGTAGTCTGTCTTCTACGTCTTAACTGAATCACAGCGTACTTATATTACCATAGTTATTAAATACAAGCTGTGCTTTCAAATAGTGTTGTTGTTTTTTTTTTTATTTTATTTAATTATTTTTTTTGGAGGGATATAAGACATTTCAAGAAATGTCTTTCTTGTTTAAGATATGTGATCAAGTTTTCTATGCGTTCAATCATAAATACAAAAAAAAAACAGGGGTTAAATAATGCTGTTAGAGTACAGTGCTTACATTTCTTCCAGTTTTTTAAAGGATATATATATAAAAAATAAAAACCTTCTGCTACAGAGCCACCATCTTGAATGTATAGCAGAAGAATTTTACACAATTCCCAAATCTTGTCTACCTGTTTCTGCCACTCCTGTACACTACACCTAGGTTTAGTGGTCAGTCTGCCATTGGATTCTGGGGCAAATTGGCTGCACAAGTACTTGGGATTTCCTGTAGACATAATTGGGATTTGAGGCATCATGGTTACTGAGGTTTAAGGTTTTTTTGTTTTTGTTTTTGTTTTTTAATCCATACCAAATTTCCAAAAAGGTAAGATTTTGCAACTTGGTTTCCTTTAATGGTTGTCCATTTTGTTTCAGCAGTATCTAGCATAGCATACTGGCATGCTAATGAAATATTGTCCAACCATCATATCCATCTCTCCATATTTTGTTGTTGGCTTTCTACAACATCCACATCTCATCATCATCGAGTCATGATGGTCTTGATATACAAAAATCAAACTAAAGTGCTGTTTTTCATTTTCAGGTGAAGTAAAGTTGGGGCAGCTTAAAGTGGAAGCTCCCTCACTCTGCTCCTCCAGTGACTTCAGTCCAACTGGTCTTCCTCATTTTGGACTTACTCTTACCCATGGAGGCCTGCTGTTATTCCACTTTCTATACTCTTAAGGACAATGAAAATACGATCCACACCATTGTAAATACCATTGACTGTGGCCAGGGTTTTTGGTCATGAGCTTGTAAACTCAACACTTTCAGTTGCATGTTTTTATTAGGATCTTTTTAATGCTTTCTATCTACTATATGGCACCTCTATAGACAAACTGACTCCAGTCAATACTTTATGGTAATATGCAACAGGCACTTACGGGAGCTGTTCCTCCTTTATGTCGGGTCAATGACTGTCCGTGGATTCTGTCTTGACACTGGGTAGATCCTTGCCACGTTGATCCAAAGTGTGTCCTCAGGTGATCGTGTGGCATCTTGGCTACGCAAGAACAAATCCTCATTAAATACTCCAGCTTACAATTGTAGTAAACAACCACAACCACAACCACCCATATTGCAAATCCATTTGGATCGAAAGATGTATTCGCTTCATTGACCATTCATCTTAACTTGATATTTTAGAAGACTTTACCTTCAGAAAGACCTCAGTGGGAAAAATAAAAACTATAAGTGTCGCACAGCAAAGCCATTACTTTGACCAGTTTCACAACTGCTTTTTATATGTTGCTAATTTTGGGAAGAAGTCTATTAAGGAAGATTGATGAACAAATGTAGGAATGGTGCCCAGAAACAACAAAAACCATGTTTGTATATACATGTATGTACAAAATCTCATTGTATATAAATGTTCTAGGCAACCCTTTACCTGCTGGAAGAATGGAACAATGTAATAACACCCCCCACACTAATCGTACCCAGCACGAAAGTGGTCATATGCAAAGCATGACTCCCATATATCTGTACTTATCATAATATAACAATTTGTGATGTTAGAAGCAGAGAAATCTTTGCCATAGAGGAGCACTCAAAGGATTAAATACCTATTTATAAACTTAAGGATAGAAGAAAATGTTTTTAATAAATATATATAGTTTTTTTTTTTTTTTAACGGTCATATTTAATACACCTGGTACTCAAGATTCTTGCTAATATGTTTTCTTTCCAGCTACTTACTATTGAATTATTCCACCGAGCCTTGTTATTTTGATAAATATAGTTTTGCACATTTAAAGGGATACTATCATTTAAAAAAAAAAGTTTGTTTTATGCATTTTAATATTGTACAGTGCAAGGGTTTATCCAGTAAACTGTGAACGATTGTGATTTGAAAACCTGATTTGCCAAAACATACACTTGTAAATATCAAATCTCCAACTTGGATACTATAGCCTTTTCAATTCAGCTTTCAACTCATCACCGTTCACTGCGTGTTCAATTAACCCATATTTTCATATTATAGTCATTTACTTACTGTTATCTAATCATGTGATAGATGGATTCTTGCCTTCTGTTTGAAAACCAGTATACAAATCAGGCACTCAAAGGGTGTTTAAGGTACTTTTACTCTTGTCATCCTTGCTCTCACAAGCAAGGCTCGAAAAAGGCTTGTGGGAGCCAAAACGTCACCCAGGTTGTATAAAATATAAGGTACCTTAAGCACCCTCTGACTGCCTGGTCCATCTCTATATCTGTGATTTAGAAGATGTATTCTGGACTGTTTTGGCACCAGGTGAGTGCGATTTGTGGCAATCATCCCTGTCTATTCCGCTCAATCTCATTGTATTGCTTTTCCTCTGAAGTCTGTGTGTGAATGGTAAATCATGTTTACAATGTTTTAATTATAGATATAATACGTTTAGTAGGAGTTCAACATTGAGGTTTTTATTTATTTTTATTATTTTAGGAAACTAAATGGAACAATGGCAATACAGCAATTTAGACTATACTTTGCACTTTTATGAAAAATAATAAAGTGGTGTTATGATAGTGTCCCTTTAATGAACAGGCTCAGTTGAATAAACCTAGAATTGTTGAATTAATCTCTCATTGTGTATCACATTGATCTCATATTTAACATTACATTTTATCCAGATATTTCTCTTAGCATTTTCCGACATTCAATTCCATGTTTTATTGACTTCCAAGACTGCTAGATGTCTCTAAAACAATTCTGCCAATATTCACATTGAAACAGCTTTTCTAAAATCACTTCTCTAATTAACCAGTAGTTGCAAACTTAACTGTAAATTTGAACTTAACATTTGAGTTCCATGACTTCAGGGTAGTATTCGGGTCTCTGTATACAGATCTTTTCTTCCCCAACAACTCCATCTTTCTTGACTCCATCCCTGTTCCTGTATCACTTCCTGTTTTATACCATTCTCACAAATACCTTGTCCACCTCTCATTTCTTCCATCATCTGATTCAATCCTCATGGGGGCAAGGGCATGATGCCAGGTTGGGTTACAGCCACCGAAGCCTTAACACTGGCAGAAGTCTCGGTGGGCCTGCATGGAATGCCTCAGAAAGCGTTGCTACAATGGTGTCTTGAAATAAAGTAGCACAAGTAATATTATTGTAGTAGCTGCATTATCACCATTAAATGCTATCTACAAGTATGCTATTTAATGTTCAAATGCTCCAATCCTGAAATAAAGTAGAATTGCACCATTACGACAAGCCTATATTTAAACTACAGCCAAAAGCCAAATAGCTTTCTCTTTTTCGTTATTTGGAGGTAGTCTAGGCCAGTTTTACAGCTGGTTTTGTCAGTGTAGTAGTCCTGTAGCTTACTGTTGTCAAACAAGTATTAATAGAAATATTTTACTAGTCAAAACTAAGAACTGTGAAGGCTAGACTACGTGGCCAAGCATGGTCAACTGATAACCAAAGGGTGCTCCATTAAGGCCATATTATTTGTCACCTGTATACTTCCTCCTAGTAATTCCACACAGATCCAATAAAACTTAAAGTAGCACTATAGGGTCATTAGGTCCCCCCCACCCTCATGGCCTCCCTCCCGCTGGGCTAAATGGGTTAAAACCCCTTCAGCCACTTACCTTTCTCCAGCGCCGAGCTCCCTCGGCACTGGAGAACTCTCCTCCTCCAACCGATGTCAGATCTGTGCGCGCATTTAAACCGCACATATGAAAGTATTACTCAACGCTTTCCTATAGACATCCAGCGTCTTCTCACTGTGATTTTCACAGTGAGAATCGTGGAAGCGCCTCTAGCGGCTGTCAGTGAGACAGCCACTAGAGGCTGGATTAACCCTGCAGTCAGTGTAAACATAGCGGTTTCTCTGAAACTGCTATGTTTTCAGCTGCAGGGTTAAAACTAGAGGGACCTGGCACCCAGACCACTTAAGCTCAATGAAGTGCCTATAGTGGCCCTTTAAGTGTTGCAGTAATCCAACTACATTTCTTGGGTCCAACTAGAAACTTTAGGATACTATATTTTAATCAAAGTTCAATATTCTTCAATCCACTTTAATCTTTAACATGATACTGTCCCATTCACGTCCCATTTTTGTATATTCGGTTTTTTTTGTCACCAAAAACGACCTAAGTGTCTGATGGTCATACTTCCAAACTATAATCTTTCTGTTCTAGAAACAGTGTTTTTAAAAAATAATAAACAAAATACTAGTGATGTCGCGAACCGTTCGCGAACTTGCCGCGAATGGTTCGCCGCAGTTCATGGCGAACTCCGGTCAGCTGACACATCCCTGCCAATCTCTGGCAGACCCTCCCTCCCAGACCCTCCCACCTCCTGGACAGCATCCATGTTGAAGCTGCCTTCAACATGGATGCTGTCCAGGAAGAGGTGTATACACAACACAATTTACATAATAATTTAAAGACTAGGGATGGAGTTTTACTGAAAACTAACTTATGAGTATGAAATACACACAGTGACAAAGGAAATCAAACATAAGTCTACAGTATTTAGGATACGATGGGTGCATTGAAAGTCAAAGACTACCTCTGCTTAAATCTACAGCTTCCTCTTCTTGGCTTCACAGTGACCTCATTGCCCTGTTCGACATAAGATAACAATACATATCTGAGACAGTGTTTTTGAGTATAGGAGGATACCTCTTACTCTTTGGCTGCTTTTTAGCTACAACACCTCCAAACCCCAGAAATCCATACGCTATTCACAGACCAATGATTTTGTAGTCCATAATTCTTCTTCTGGTCCCACACCATTCTGCATGAACTACCAAATGAACAGGTTTTAATGATGTCCTTTTTGAAGTACAAAGAGATAATCCCTAAATCCAAGTTCATTTGTAGGTTTTGACCACTAGTTTCAAAGCCCCTAGTGCAGAAAATCTATCAAGTTTTGCAGTCCTGATCCTGTAGTTTTTGCAGATGGGTTCTCATGGTAGTTTATTTTTGAAAAAAATGTTAATAAAACAGGCAGAACAAGCAGATTCTTATAACAATCAAGGATATGGTGGACAGACTGTGCAAAAAAGACAATCGTAGGATGGACCAATGATAGGAAGGCATTGCTTTCGCAAGTCCGTGATATCAGGGCTAGCTTATGGAAGTTTTGGGTTACAATTACTATAACCGCCAACTTATTTTGAGAATAATATACGTTATGGTCAAAACTAAGCTGTTCATGTTTTCATCCCTTTTCCATGAGTCTTTCCCTTGCTGTACCTCTCTAGATCCAAGACGTCCGATGACTATTTATTCAATACACGTATTGACAAAGTCTCCCACTGCATCATGAAGTTTTTTCCATTAAATGTAATGAATCTTTGCTGTGGCTTACACACATTTGTGTTTGCTGTTACGGATTTTACACATTTTATTAACGGTTTTACACCTTTGCAGCAAAATCGCTGTATTTAAAAATAGCTTTCTCTGTGTATTTCAATCATATCTGTAAACAAATTGATCTATGAATCTCATTGTGAATAGAAAAATCAAGCAATGGATGAAACGTGAAAATTAAATGGCAAAATAAAACCAATTTTCAAACCCAGGAGAACCACCACGTGTCATGTACGATACATTTTCATAATCATGCTATCGTAGTTGCCTACAGGTGAACGGGGATTTCTGTTGGTGTGCAGACGAACGCCGTTACAATATTTACATGTTTGTGTTTGTCATTTTATTGTTAAAAGAAACTTACCCAGAAATTTGTAAACCTTTCTGCTGTCTCATCCATTACCTTAAGAGCTTTATGTGGCCACACGATACTTGCTTTCAGCAATAAATATTTCTTATAACTGTGAATCCTAGAATCGTCTATAGGGTTTCTGCACATTCGCCTCCGCTAAAGGTTAGTTTTTACAAATAATTTTTTATTTTGTGAATTGACATGTTGCCTGGATAAATATCATCTTTAAACACGGTGTGATGTCCGCATTTCTTTATTTATGTTAATACTTTGTCCTTGCTCACAATTCAATAGTCTGTACAAGAGGGCCTAGAAGGGTCGGTTAACAGGACACTATTATCCCATCATTATAATACTTAGAACGGTAGTAAAATGATTGCCTTAGGATATAGTGGTTTGAGGTTTGTTCGTGTTTTTTTTTTTTTTTTTTTAAATACCCAAGCTGTTCACTAATAAACACAAATGATATGCACTTAAAACACTTTGTATTAAAGACCACATTCTGTAAAAATCTAAATGAGAAATTAATGGTTGAAATGTTGCTATAGTTGTAAACCGGGGGAAAAATGTTGATAACACTCAAAGCTAGTTGTTGTTTTAGTTCTGTATTCATTTTGTATTAACAAGGTTTAGATCCAAGGGGTCTTCCATCTGCTCTCTGGATCATCCCTTAAAATTCTGGTGTAAGAACCTATGGGGGGGGGGGGAGAAATAAAATGAACAATAAAATAAACAAAGGAATTATCAAACAATTATATATAACAGTGTAGTGTGTATTATGGGAAAAATATGCCATTGAGAGGGGTTTGAGGGTCTTTAGAATTAAGAGAAGGCATTATATTAACCTAATACACATTTGTCATACTGTATCTTTTACATTTCATCATATTTTTATCATAGTGTATCTTTTATATTACACAATATTTTTTATTATTGTGTTTCTTTTATATTACACAATATTTTTTATTATGGTGTTTTATATTACATCATATTTTTATCATAGTGTATCTTTTATATGACATCATATTTTTAGGTTCGTGTTGGGGTTAATGGTTGGTATTAGGACAGTATAGGGGTCAAAGCTTTGTCGTAGTGTAGAGGTTAAGGGGAGGACTTTACTGTAAAGACCCAGTACTGTCTGAGGTTAGTAAGAGTTACTCGTGTCCTAGGTGGCAGCTGTTTCAAATGCCGTCATCACAATGGTGGGATGTGCTGCTCAGTATTGAGACTCCCATTAATCTTGGAAAGTTCAGCACATATAAACTTCAGTTCTGCCTGAGATTAGGGCCCACAGAATACGCAGGGTTAATTTATGCATAACTACCTTTCCATTACAGGGAATGACTGTACAGATGACATCATCATGCATGCAGGAGTGATTACGTTAACAAAAAAAAGGATTTAAAATATATATATATATATATACACACACACGCATATAGAAAGTTCAAATTTTGCTCTGCACTCATATTTCAATCTAATTTTTTTGCCCGGTGCTTGGTATTGGCAAATCCATATACAAATACTTACTATCCACTAATGGACTCCTTGATTTATTTTTTTTAAACACTTTATTCTTCATAAAAATGAATGTCAGTGTTTCAGTTCCATATAAGAAAACTTTCATCAGGACAATTAAATGTAAAAATTTTGAAAACTACTTTTTTTTTCTTGACAGGCGCAGTGTCGGATTTGCCAGCATATGCGCTAACCTTACCCAAACCCCCATTAAAACACGGACACAGGTTATACTGTTGGAAATAATTCGTCCACAGCTTTATTAAATTATTAATAAATAATTAAGGAATAACAAATGGGGTCATTGCCAACAAATCTTAATAACGTTAACATCCCCCATATACATAACATACCCCTAGCAATCACCCCACAATAATAACAATAGATAACAATCTAAATAACATGTTAACACAGAAACTGGCCGCCCAATTTAACCACATTTCCACCATGTTAAATTGTAGGGGTCTACCGAGACACCACTACCCACCATACTGATTGTAGGGGTGTACCAAGACACCGCTACACACCATATCCATTGTAGGGGTGTACCAAGACACCGCTACCCACCAGTTCCAGTGTAGGGTGTACCAAGACACCACCACACCCCCAGGTTCGGAGTCACAGACGGGCTCGAACCTACCAACCACGTGCAACACTGCCCAATCCACACTAAACCTCAGGATGCCCACTTTCTCCTCCATCTACCCTCCGATTTAACCAGGCCATTCCCCGCCGCTGTGAAAAAATGGGAAATCAACTAACCTAACCAAATACAGGGAGGGTGGGAGGGACAACTGACAGGTAAGCTTAGGTTCAGTTAAAATGGCCACTTCATATAATGGCTGGTATAAATACTCCCCTTATGGCTCCGCCCTACCCAGCATGCTAGCTGTCACTAAATTCCTGTGGCTGCTATGCCTACCTCCTGGCTCTGTCAAGGCCTATTCCTCTTAGCTGTGCTGATCCATGGGCTACATTCTATAGAGGAAAGGAAAAATAATACACTTACCAACCCAGTGCTCAATATCGCTGGCATATCCATGGCCTCACTGTACATGCGTGTGGATAACCGCACCCCTTTATGTGGTTGTGGTTGTGCGCACTACATTTTTACTTTTAATTGTCCTGATGAAAGTCCATTAGTGCTGGTAAACTCATTAAGTATTTGTGTGTGTGTGTGTGTGTCTCTCTCTATCAGAGTGGAAAGATTCTGTATTCCCAGCAATAGACAATGACAACTAAAAATAAAAACATTCAAAAACATAACTGCTACTCAGGACACCAATCAGAGGACCAAGACTTTAAAAGTTCATAATTGAATCTCTTCTGTCCGTGGGCACCAAAGCAAAAAACTTTGTGTGAGTTGTGCTTGGTTACTTTTTTTGCCGGTGTTAGAGACTGTGAAATCTCCTACAAATACCAAATCCTCATAAATAACGGCCTATTTCTTATCAATATGAACATTTGGCATACATTCTCTAACTACCAATCTGCTTAACTACAGTTTAAACTTTATTTTCTAATGTGTAGTTTCCTTAAATGTCATTGCTCCTAGATGCTAATGACAGCACGTGTACCAGCAGTGATATAACATAAAGCACTTAGACCAGAGGTGGGACCGCAAGGGTCGTAACAGTCATTATTGTGACCAGGCCTTGGAATTCAACCTGTTAAAGAGGGTAACAGGCCAGACTGACCCCCACAACAGAATCATTATTTGTCACTCCAGGTTTTGTGGACGATAACTCCCATGATGCTTTGCTTGTATAATGGCTGTTAGAGCATTATGGGAGAGTTAGTCCACAACATCTGGAGTGCCGAAGGTTGCCTACCATTGATTTAATATATTGCCAATTTAGCAATATACAAAATAGCAAATGAATACATGGAGCACTTGAAGTGCTTCCTCGTGGCGCTCAGTGAAAGTGTGAAATCTCTGCCACCGGGTTACCGTAGCAATGGTCTGAGGAGAAGAGCTCCCCTGAGGAGAAGAGCACCCCTGGAGCTGCAGACCACACACATCCCTGACTTAGATCCTGGCCCTTATCTATCAGTGCCATTTGTTATCAGCACCTCGCCATGGAATGTTCAGTCTGCCATTTCTAGGTCATGCCTGGCCCAGCTATGTGCATGGTTTGTGAAACACACATGGAACAATGAAATAAAGATCTAGAACTATTCCTTTTATTCTTCCTGTGAGGGATATAACATGGTGTTACCAGGTTAAAGGGACACTGTTGGCACTGCAACTGGTTCATCTTGTGTTTGTAGTTTCTGGAGTCTCCTGGCGCCATCCTTCCATTGAGTGTTAATCTGTTTTTTGGGCTAAAGGATTGTTACCAGCAGTCTATAATCTCTGTACTGCTCAGACTAATGAGGAAACATTAACCTGAGCAGCAATGGGTGGCCGTGATTGGCTAAGAGTGTCAGCTGTCATTGCAGGTCTGAGTTGGTATGGCTAGAAGTAACTGTGTGATGTCTTTAGCCATACCTCCAGTAAAGGGGTGGCCAGGAGGCCTCATTCAGTGTCAAAATTCTTGAAAATGGTTTATCACCGGATGGACAGCCAATGCCAGGGGACTCCAGGCAAAGTACCAATTCAATTAGATGAAATGGTTATAGTGCCTACAGTGTCCATTTAAAGGAGTCAGCGTTAGCTGTGAAACAGAGTTGATATGAAAGGATGACAAAAAGTGGGTAGCAATGGTTGTATATTTAGTTAGGAAGGGCTAGTTATACACATGTGTTCTGATGCAATTTGACATCATAATAATGAGTAATGTAAGACTGCTCTCTGTATTCATTGTACGGTGTAGCAGAGAGGAGTTCCATTTGTTATAAGGTTGTTTAATGTAGAATTGTACTTACTGTGTAACTGCAATTCCTCAATCAGTCCGCTGTGAAATGCAAAGCCATTAATAAAAAAATAAACCACAAAGCAGCAGTTTAATCCACTTAGAGACCAAATGAAGTGGTCTAATTAAGAAATGGGGAAACAATGAATATTTATATTGTAACTGCATCAGGCCTATTTCAAAGCGTAGGCCTAAAGCTGACGCTCCAATAGCCCCTATGTTAAGTTGGCCGGTCTGCTACCTGTGTATCTGCCCTGTCCATTGTAGGACTGTGAAAAACATGTTCTATGTAGTAGAGTGAGATTTACAGTTGTTTTGCCAAACCACTACGGAGCGCATTTCTTCTATTGGTAAATTTTAGAAAAATTATATTCTTTGTTACAGTAATAAATTGCTAAAAAAAATCAGATTTTTTTTTTTTTTTTAAATCATACTCCACCCATTTTATTTATGAACTGTCATCTATAACTCTATTACCGCTCCATGTAAAATCGGAGAGTTGTGTTATGCCCAATCACAATGCAATTTCGAGACAATGCTAAAGTCTACATGACAGCTAATTGGCTAAGCCAAAGACATTTTGACCTCTCAAACCATTGAGCAAGAATATAATAGGCACCACAGATTTTCTAAAAAATATAATGCATTTCAATAGATCTCTAGAATAAATGTAAGCATACATGTTTAATTTTTGTGCC